AGTTAGCCTGGGTCAAGCACTTCTTAAGTCGCATTTAAGGCCAAGGAGACTGGTACTGTTGTCACCATGTTATAGGTGAGACAATGGAGACGGTTAAATAACGTGACCAAGTTCTCACTGCTAGTGAAAGTGGAGCCAGAATTCACGCCCAGGAGGTCTGGCCCCAGAGCCTGCCCTTGTAGCCAACCTGGCTCCTTGCAGAAGGACCCTGCAGGGGATGTCCTGAAGAGAGCTCGACCATCTACATGAATTTTATTTCCCTGGTCCTTTGGTTAGTGGTAGTACCTCTTGATTGGTTTTGCACTAGTATTTTTTTTTTTTAAGTTTTTTTTTTTTTTAGATTTTAATGTATTTATTTTTTCCCCCCAAAGCCCCAGTAGATAGTTGTATGTCATAGCTGCACATCCTTCTAGCTGCCGTATGTGGGACGCGGCCTCAGCATGGCCGGAGAAGCGGTGCATCGATGTGCGCCCGGGATCCGAACCCAGGCCGCCAGCAACAGAGCGTGCGCACTTAACCGCTAAGCCACGGGGCTGGCCCTGCACTAGTATTTTAAAATAGTTTTCAATAAAGAGAGGAGAATTGGACCTCGAGCTTCCTGGTTCTAATTATACCTAGCAGCTGTTAGGATAGGGAGTTGCAGATGGATGTGTTCACTGATGGTTCACTTGAGAGTCTGTGGCTCTTTTCTTCCTGACTTCTGGCAGAAAGTTCAGAGCATTTGATTTATCTTCTGGCCCCTTGTCAGATAGTGAAGAAATTACCAGAGCTATTCCCTGAACAGTGGAAGGTTATATCTATGTTATACTTCCTATTTCTTGATTATTAAACACAATATTTAAAAATTATGATACACAGAGAAGGCTAGCAATATATTCAACATAGTCAGTTTTTCAAACTATTAATGTTTCATCTCTACCCCATTTTATAGTAAATTTGGGTTTCAAAGATGATTTGGATTCTTTGGCCTTTGTCTTTCGAGCTCTGCTGGGAAGCTTTTTCACTGCAGAGACTTGAACTTTATCTTTGTACTCAGCTCTTTGAAGTTGGTCTTTGTTTTTGAACCTGTGCCTTTTTTGGGTTATTGATGTGTGATTTTAAAGAATTCTTTTATTGCAATTTTAAGGATAATAGCTTAAAAAAGAAGCCCAATAATGAATATCAGTACAATTTGAGTCAAAATTAGGTATGTTCTAAGTAAGCTGATGCAATTTAACTGTTCTTTGACATACGAATATTAGGAATTTCCAAAGCCTTTATCATTTCAGGTTTTCTCTTGCTAACTTATATTTCTGTAAGCGAACTAAATGTATTCAGTAAATATTTGAGAGCATCTGTGCACCATGCATTGTGTTAGGCATTTTTAATAAAATACTCTTATGTGCTTGCCAGGTAGTAGACGCTGTCTTAAGACACTTGGGATATGGCAGTATACAAAACCACAGAGATGCTTTTGGTTTCCAGTGGAAGAGAGACAGATAATAAATAAATGCATGCAGTAGATGGTTATAAATACATAAAGCAGGGATGAGAGATGGGGAGTGTCAGGCAGGCTGGTTGCAATTTTAAACATTGGGGTCCAGCATGGCTTCATAAGGAAGGCTTTGTGGGTAGCTTGTTGAATAAGATGGGCCCTGCCCTCAAATAGCTTATAGTCTAGTGACAACTGCTTCTTGGTGAGCACTTACCATGAGGCTGGGGACTCTGAGTACCCATGTACATTTCCTCCTAATATACTAAACTAGGGGACCTTATTGCCAGTTTCTCCAGAAGGAAACTGAAGCTTTGAGAGTCATGTAAATTGCCCAGGCGAACATAGCTAGTGGGACCCAGATCTGGCCCAAAGCCCATGTTCTTAAATGTAGATTACACAAACCAAGTCAACTCTCAAAATATTTGTTATGGAGGAATTAGCCAGCTTTGAAGATAGATCTACCTTATTTTTGGTGCTGATGGGTCGGGCACCTTGATTGGCTCACGAAGAGTCTACATTACCATGAACTTCTTTTCTACCCTCCCACTTTTTCTATTTAAAAGGCCTTGGGGGGCCGACCCTGTGGCTTAGCAGTTAAGTGCGCGAGCTCCGCTACTGGCGGCCCAGGTTCAGATCCCAGGCACGCACCGATGCACTGCTTCTCCGGCCATGCTGAGGCCGCGTCCCACATACAGCAACCAGAAGGATGTGCAGCTATGACATACAACTATCTACTGGGGCTTTGGGGAAAAAAAAAAGGAGGAGGATTGGCAATAGATGTTAGCTCAGAGCCGGTCTTCCTCAGCAAAAAGAGGAGGATTAGCATGGATGTTAGCTCAGGGCTCATCTTCCTCACACACACACACACACACAAAATAAATAAATAAAACTGTTTAAAAATAAATAAATAAAAGGCCTTGGGGTTGTGCCCTCTGGCCGTGGCAGGCAAAGGACTCACCTGGTTACTGACTTCCATGCAGTGGGTGTGTTTGTTGTGTGTGCTTCTATTGACTCCAGCAAATCATTGACTACTTGAATTCCTCGCATTACATTTCAGTGATAGGACACTAATTTGGCTGGCCTGTGGATCACTGTGTTCAAGAGCATGTTATAAATGCTCATATTTAGAAAGGAATGTAGAGTGAGGGAAAGGTTATAGTGCCAAGGTCACTGCTTATTGTGAGTGTTTATTGCAGAATAGGCCATACCTTGTATTTCCAGTGATTGCTTTATCATAATAAAGTAAATAGCAAATCAGTGTGCTGGATTAGAACCTTTATAGAAGGCTGTGGAAAGGAGGTAAGGGGTTCAAGAGCTCTGTTCTTCCTTCTGCCCTCAGGCTGCTTATGGTAACTTCAACACAAAACATACTACTTTTAATAGGGTGGTGATTTTCAGCCTAGTATATCCTTTGCATTGAGTATTGATGGTTCTTTGTGCTTTGGTTAATTTAATATCTGAGGTGTGTATCTTGGTCATTAATATAAGAAGAGGCTTGTATTTTATAACTCTGTGTTATTTTTCATTGTTGGTTTCTAGTGACTTTTTTTCCCCCACTTACTACTGCTGAATTAAATGTTGTTTTTCTTTTTTACTCAAGAGATAAGCTGTGATTTTAGCATTTGGGTTGTGAAATTTATTCTATTTACTTTTTTGAAGTATAATATACATTCAGAAAAGGATACATATGATAAGTGTACAATTCAAAGACTTTAGAGATGAAACGCACTTAGGTAGCCAACTTCTAGATCAAAATATAAGGAATTATCAGAGCCCTAGAAGCCCCTCACCTTTTTCCAATCACTTCCATCGTCCTCTGCAAGGGTACCCATTATCCTGACTTTTAAAGATTTTATTTATTTATTTTTTCCCCCCAAAGCCCCAGTAGATAGCTGCATGTCATAGCTGCACATCCCTCCAGTTGCTGTATGTGGGACGCGGCCCCAGCGTGACCAGAGAAGCGGTGTGTCGGTGCGCAGCCGGGATCCGAACCCGGGCCGCCAGCAGCAGAGCGCACGCACTTAACCACTAAGCCACGGGGCCGGCCCCCTGACTTTTAACATCATGTCTTTGTTTTGCCTGTTTTTGTGCTTGATATGATTGAATAATACAATCTGTACTCTGGCTGGCTGCTTTTGCTTCCCATTGTTAGTGAGATCGAACCATATGTTTGCATACAGTTGCAGGTGGTTTGTTTTCATTGCCATATAATATTTCATTGTATGGACATTCTTTAACTTATCCATTCTGTTAAAGACACGTGTGTAGCTTCCAGTTTATTCTATTATGAATGGTGCTTCTATAAACGTTCTCATACATGACTTTTGGTGAACATATGTAAGCATTTCTGTTTGGTATATACCTAGGAGTAAAATTACTGGGTCATAGAATATGCATGTATTCAGTTTGAATAGATACTACCAAATGGGGTAAGAGTTAAAGTAGTTGTACCAATTTACATTTCCACAGTAGAATGAGAGCTTGTGGGTTTTATATTTGATACCCTGTTTTGGGGGAAGGTGGGAGGTGCATTGTCTTAGGGTCATTTCAGTTCGTGTTTGTTTATGGAAAGGAATGGTCATAGCTGTCTCATTGATTCTTTGAAAGTTGAGGTAAATATTTGTCTCTGTGCTCATTCCCACCCATTTTTCTTTGTCTCCTTATGTGTATATATGTTACATACATGTTTTATATGGCTTATATACACACATAACATATGTGTGTATATATATTTTATCTTATAAATTTTCTACTTTAACTCTGAGACTGGAAAGCCACCTTTGAGGTCATCTAGCTCAGGCTCCTATGTCTCTGAATTTGAATGATCCTGCTTTAAGTGTCTCTAATGATGGAAAGCACATTCGTTTACAGTGACCCATCCCTTTGTTAATTAACTCATGTTTTTGCTTCTTGAACATTGTGGTGACATCTGCCTCTTTAACTTTTCCTGTCAATATCATGCCCTTTTACAAGTGAGAGAAAAACCTCATGATTCTTATAATAGAGTTGAAACCTCTTCAGGCAGAGATTAATGGCTGTTTTTTAAACTGTGCTTTTCAACATCTGCAGGGTCTTGGTTGCTGTGCAGTTTGTTCTGTGGAACTTGGGTGAAAAACCCCTTCGGACAATGGAAAACTCAGTGCAAAACTTTTTTTTTTTTCTCTTTAAAGTGTTTTTCTGTTTCCTGATTTTTCTGCCATGAGCAGACACTGATTTTTCCCCCTTTTGATTGGGTTTAAACATTATTTAAAATGAAAATACAAAAAAATGCAAATAGTGCATTTAAAAAATCAGACTGTAATGAATAAAAGAAAAAGACAACCTTTTTATAGAAAACTGACTGTTATATTTCATGAAATCAGTGAATATGGAAAAATACTTTGGATGGATAATATGGAGTCTAAGGTTTCTGAACTTCCATGTGGTATTAATATTCATAGGACTTTAAAATTGGTTTTTTTCTAGTTAATAATTAATAATTTAAGGTTCATAGATATTACTTAATAGATATTTTCTTTTTTTACAGGCAAGAAGAGACTGACAGGAGAGTGAAAAATGTAAGCTATATTTAATGGAACATTATAAATGGTTTTTTACTTGTTCTGCGTTAAGGCAGTGGGATCTAAAAATACCTGATATACTCTGTATCTTTTTTTCCAATGGAATTTTTGCTAGAAACCAGCCAGTCACAAACTCTTTTTAAATATGGTTAAGACATATGTTCTATGACTTCATAGTATAAAAGGAGGTTAAACCTAAGAAGTGGTTCCTTGCATGTTAGTAATGTGGGAAAGGCAAGTGAACATACTTCAGAATCTTTAGGACAGTAAGTCAGAAACTACCGAATCAGACTTCAAGGAAAACACTGAATGTTTAAGAACTCTGAGTAATAGCTTGATGTAGACTTATATCTATAATATTTTGCATATTATATGAGCTTGCAATTAGAAGAATTTCTGAAAATGTGACAGTTTTATTAAAAAAAAAAACAAAAGAGCTCACTAACCTTATTAAGGAGACTGAGAATTATTGATTTTAAGTGTTTATTCTGTAAGTTTGGAAAAAATATTGATTGCTTTAAAAGTTTAATTTATGTTTTCCTCTTATAAATTTTTCCCATCTTCATATGTACTAATAGAGTGTACGAATACCTGTTGGGAACTGGGCTTTTGGTCTGAGAATGTGCTCAGAGACGGAAATCTAAGAAGAATAATTAACATTTTTAATGACCCTTCTCCTTCACATAATTTAAAAGAAAATCTACTTTTCAACCATTGATAGGCATGCTGTCTTTTATCTAGAGTGCTTACCTGCATTTGAGCTTGCAATTAGTTACTAAATAGACTGATCGTATTGTTTCATGGAAATTTTTTTTAAAGGTTTTGATAACATTGTACTGGTTGGGAAGAAAAGCACAAAGTAACCCCTACTATAATGGTCCCTATCTTAATTTGAAAGCATTTGAGAATCTTCTAGGACAAGCTCTGACTAAGGTAAGGAAACTCCATCTGTATGAGACGACTGCTGTAACTAATGCTCCTACTTTCTCCTCCTCTTTTGCTTCCTCTCCTCCTCTCTGCCTCTTCCTTCCCCCTTACCTCTTTCCTGTTTTCCTTGCACTCTCCTCTTCCTTCTCCTCCTCTTCTATAACAAATATGGTGGCTCTGACTGGCTTGGTTCCACTCTAGATTGGGCTGGGTAGAAAGGATTGTTTCTTGTTTGCTGGCTTTGTATGCCACCACCAAGGAGTGAGTGAGCCCATTTCAGAGCAGTTCCCTGGGTATAGGATATAGATACAGGTATTTATCTCTTAAGTGTAGGTAACTCAGTGACATGCTCATTTGCTTCCTTTCTTAGGCACTTTATATAACTTAATTCTTTCTATATTCATTAGGAACTCAACATGTAGTAGAGAGGTGCCTCAGGGCTATTAAAATGTGTGGAAGTTACTCAATTTATTTATCTTAATGTCGTCTTGTCATGGGTGAGTGTATCTGATGTCTACACTCCAGTCTCCCCACAGTTCTACCGTATTGCTTCTGTCTCCTAGAGTGTAGTAAATGCTGTTATGTGAAACATGGTAAGGTTTTTAAGTTAGACTCTTTTGTTTTAAATACATTTCTAGTCCTTATCCTGGGGTCAGTGTTGCAGCTTTTTAATGTTTAAGGATCGTTTGAGGAGAGTCAAGTGCCAGGGCTGACTATAGTTCTGCCAAATCTTCATTTATAAGATCCACATGGGAAAATTAATTTCTTTAGAGGGATGTTTATCTAGGGGAATTTGAAAATATGTAGTCAAAATAATATCATCATCTAATTCATAGAGTTGCTTCATGGGTTTTTATGATTAAATGATACTGTACCAATAAGGCATTTAGCATTAGTCTCTGGCACATTGTAAGGATGTAATAAATGTTAGGTACCGTGATAGAAATTTCAGACCAGGATGAAAATGATCACGTTGTCTTACATCTACCCTGATCTTTAAATAGTTTTGCCGGGGGCTCAGCCACATACGTTATAGAAAGGTAAGAATATACCTGGAAATTTCAGGTATTCCTTTTTTATTTTTATTTTTTTGAATTGTAAAGAGCTGATAGCACTCTCTTCAAATTCCTTGAAATCAGTTAATTCAGGTAAGTTGAGATGTTATCGTGCACAAGCATTGTACTAGGTGTTGGGAAAACACACAAGGCAAATGACCCATCCTCACAGAGTACAGTTGTCCGATGGAGACAGTTGAGCAGATAGATCACTGTAATGGAGGAAGGTGAGGCTCTGAGGGAGGAATGTGCAGGGGCTTTGGGCACGAGCAGAGCCCTGCCTTGCAGTTATTTCAGGTAAGAAAACATCCAGTTAAAAAACAATGTGGGACTTTGGCTCCTGTGTTAGTGTTCTCTTTACAGCCTTTGGTCCTTTTTATGGCAGTCTGACTCAGGTTGAATAATCCTACTACAGTGTTTGTGCTGGGAATGTTTTATTAAAGGCTGTATCCTGTCACCCGTGTGAAAATCAGAGTAGGTTCAAAAGAATTTTCCATAAAACTATAGTCATGGTTCCGTTCCATAATTATGGAGTAGGGATAGCTGTAAGAGATGTCTGAATATAGGATCTGTTTTGCATCTATTCTGTTAAAAATCATTGTCTTCATCAAACTTTTCCCGTTTAACTAGATAAAGCTTAATGGCCAATCTAAAATATCAATTAAAAAAATGCTTGGAGTAAGCTGTTGCACCTGAGTCATCGGATAAGTTGGAGGTGACTCATTTTAGGTGACCTGTCAGTGTGAAGTTGTCCACACACACAAAAAGGCACCAGGGCCAGACGTGGGTTATTTTATAACTGAGGTGGCTTGTCATCAGTAACTTTTAACATTTATGGATCAAAAATCATCTCTCTGTGTGTGGAACTCTAAGGCTTCAAAACATATGTGTCTAAGGAACCTGATGGATCTAAAGATTTACTTAAAATTTAATCTTTTATATTTTGAGAATATATTTTGGTGGCACCAGCACTAGGCCCAGCTTCCCCATCTGTTTGGAAATAGGGTACAGGGTAGGCGCTTGGATTTTCACGACAGGAAGTCAACTCGAATGCCAGGGTGTCTGGCATCGAAAGCATATGAAATCTCACGGTAAATCTACTAGACCTTATTGGCGCCTCACACACTTGTTAAACAATTCAACGATGAATTGACAGACCCAATCTTAGCCAAAAGTATGCTCTAGACAGCTGCTAATTATTCATTGTAAATCTTCTTCAGCTTTTTCATATGTTGAAAATGTTCATAATTAAAAGTAGAATAGTACAACAAGTACTAAGATATGTACCATCTGATTCAATTAAGTTTCCCATATTGGTTTTATCGATCTACATGTCTATCCATCTCTGTTTTTACTTAATCATTTCAAGGTCTATTGCAGATATCTCACCCCTAAATACTCAGCATATATCTCTTAAGAGTAAGAATATTTTTCCAAATAGCCACAATATCTGTTATACTTAAGAAAATTCATAAATATTTTCCACTATCTCATATCCAGTCCATATTCAAAATTTCCCGATTGTCTCCCTACTATCATTTCTATTTATGTATGTATGGATGTATGTATGTGAGGAAGACCAGCCCTGAGCTAACATCCAATGCCAATCCTCGTCTTTTTTGCTGAGGAAGATTGGCCCTGGGCTAACATCCGTGCCCATCTTCCTCTACTTCACATGGGACACCGCCACAGCATGGCTTAACAAGCGGTGCATTGGTGCGCGTCCGGGATCCGAACCAGCGAACCCCAGCTCACACACTTAACCACTTGCACCACTGGGCCGGCCCCCCCTACTACCTTTCATAGCTCATTTTATCTGAAACATGATTTAATCAAGGTTCACATATTACATTTGGTTGTTAGGAATTCTAGGTTCTTTAAACTGTTTCTGTATTACTAAGCTCATCTGAATGTAGATTCTTGATTTCCACACTAATGACAAAATTACCTTCACCATATTAAGTTACAAAGTTACTAGATAATCATTGATTTCTATGTCTAGGACTATGCTAAGTGTTTTATAAATTTTACTTAAATCCTAACTTTAAAAATTCCAGTTTTATTTTGCTCTTGACTTTCATAGAATGTTAGTATTTTGAGTAATTTATATATAATTCATAAACCTGTGATTAATAACATTTGCCATATTTCCATACATCTCTTACATGAGCCAAACAAATATTTTATTTAGATCCAGGGAAAGTTTTGTATGTAAGCAAACGAGTCTGCTTTCCTTGTTCAGATGTAGGTTTTGTAATCAGTGAAAATAAATGAATTCTGTGAAGTGTAAGCCTGCTGTCCTTGCCCCTCTCTCTTTTTTCTTTTAAACCTTTTTGTTGTTGTTAAAGAACTTCAACGGTTATGGTTTTTTCTTTAATATAAACCACCCCAAATATTTCCTGGAGGTAGGCTGAATATAATCTTATTAGCTTATCTCCTTTTGGATCTCAAAATTAAGATAGGCTTTTCTCTTTACTCCTTTCTTGTTTATTGCCAGATAACTGTAAATAATAATTGATTTTAGCATTTGAATGTTATTCTAATTATTAGCTTTTTTTTTAATTAAAATGCTCCCCCTTCCTTATTTTTAAATAGACTATCCTACTTTATTAAATACTGAATTCCTCCTTACTGTTGCATGAGTGCCAAGTATTAGTTGTGGGAAAACGTTTACAGATTTATATTCTGATTATTATCAGATTTTTTTTTTTATGTTTAACAGAGAAATCTCGGTGCCTGACCTAGCAACTGAAGCACAGCTTGAGCTATGCAAACAAACAAATAATGACTGATTACATTTTTGGAAGTTTATGCCAACTTACTATTCTTTAAAAAATTTTTCTTTAGGCACTGGAAGACTCCAGCTGCCTGAAAAGAAGTGGCAGGGACAGTGGTTACGGTGATATCTGGTGTACTGAACGTGGAGAATTTCCTGCCGCTTCAGGCAATTATAAGAGAGAAGATTCTTTTGAAAGCTTGGACTCTTTGGGGTCTAGGTCATTCACAAGCTGCTCCTCTGATATCACGTTGCGAGGCGGACGTGAAGGTGAGTTATATTCTTGACTCATTTTATTTTTATTTCTTCACATATTAAGAGAAAATTGGGAATGGGAGAGAGTAGAAAAATGGAGCAAAAGCTATTGAGGCAAAAATCTCACTAAGAAGTGGATTTTCATAAAGGCTGGACTATAATTGGGGGTTTCCTTTCTTTTTTTTTCTTTTCCTCACTATATCACCATTCGAGGGGTAATAGTTTCACTTTTTTTCTTTTCTATTTTTAGAGAAGACTGGGGAGGAAATAGTTAACTGTGACCTGTTTTATCAGTGATAATCTGTCCTAATTATTTTCTCTCCAGATTCAGGTTTGATAATCTGGGTGTATGAGGCCTATTAACTGATATATCTAAACATAAAAATGAAAGTAAATAAAATTCTGTAAAAGTCTATTCTAGTTCCTGAATAATTTTTTTTCTTCTCTTCTCTTACTTTTTTCCCAAAAAAGATAAAAAATTTCTCTTAAGAAAAAAGAGGAAGGGCCGGCCCCGTGGCTTAGCGGTTAAGTGCGCGTACTCTGCTGCTGGCGGCCGGGGTTCGGATCCCGGGCGCGCACCGATGCACGGCTTTTCTGGCCATGCTGAGGCGGCGTCCCACATACAGCAACTAGAAGGATGTGCAACTACGACATACAACTATCTATTGGGGCTTTGGGGGAAAATAAATAAAAAAAAAGAAAAAAAAAAAGAAAAAAGAGGAAAAATATTTTTATAATTATCTGTGTCCAGGAGAAAAAATGATTATCTATCATGATAGAATATTATGCTAAACTTTGGCAGATTGAGTAACAGTACTAGTGTGCTGTTAGAAAACATCTTTTGCTTCTGTCAGAGTCAGAGCTAACCCAGGATAGAGTGTGAAAGGAACATGTTAATGAAAAGTCATTGTGCTGTGAGAAGGAACCTTTCAAAATTTCAGTATTATGGTCAAATCAGTTATTTAAATGCAGGTCTTGATGGTGTCAGAAATTTCTGACTGTATACGTCTAGCAATTCAAATTTGGCTAGACTGAAACCACAAGTACAGTTTTTTGAAATATTTCTTTGCTTTCACCATCAACATGAAAAAGTTGAGAGTTCTGGTTGTGAGTTGGTGCTAGATGTTAGGGATTTTACTTTGCTTGTTTTTTATTATTTTATATTTTTAACTGTTTTTCCGAGTGTTTTTAATATAAAAAATTTCAAACATCAGCAAAGTTGGAAGAATTTTACAGTGAATACTCGTGTCCCCACCACCTAGTTCTACCATAACATTTTACTATGCTTGCTTTAGCAAAGACTTACCTCTCTTTCTGCATGAATTATCCATCTTATTTTTGAGGCACTTCAGAGTACATTACACTTGTCCTAAATACTTCAGCATGCAGTCATTAACTAGAATTCAATCGTTACTTGTTCTTCTGATGTGAATTTACATAAAAGCAATATATAATGAATTTGTTTTTCAAAAATGAAATTAATCAACCAATTAAGTATTATAACAAAACCCCAAATTCTTTAGCTTTTAGAGGAGTAGTAACATTTAAAAATTGTAAAAAATGAGTGGCTATTTAGGAGTTAACCTTTATAATTACTGCTGCATTTGTTGGCTGTTTGCTCTCTGGGGGTGGCATTTTCATAGCTCTCATGACTATTATAATAGTTTTGAGGAAATGAATCTGAGTTTATAATTCATCTGAGTGATTCAAGTTGTAAAAGCAGACGCTGAAATTCCCAACGTGCTGTGTTACTTTTGTCCTGATTGAATAACCTAAAACGTGCAATGTTTAAATTTGTATCTGGCCAATAAAGAATGAAAGGGATAAAGATTGAAGGCGTGTGGGAATACAGCCTTCTGTCAGTTCAAATGCGGTAGTCCAGTGGTGTGGAATCAAAGTCCTCTCCTCAGACACTTGTTGGACTGGGTGCCTGGGACGTGTGAGGAAAAGCAGAGGGCCACTGTCACACTGCTTCCTGATGCTGGGAAAGGAGTTGCAGACGTTGTTTGAAGAGTGTGGAAGTGAAGACTTGTGGTAATTACAACTGAGGAAGAAGAAAATGAAAAGCCGGGGGCCGCCAGGATGATAAAACTTCTTTGTGATCACTGTATTGAAATTCTACTACCTACCAGGTTGTAGTTCCAAACTGATGATCACAATTTAGGAGAATATTTCTAGGTTAACAGTACTGTAAAGTCAGATTCGTTAGTTTTGTATGAAACCTCTTACCATATGAAGAATATTTGCCTACTCTGCCGGGTACTGTACTGGACTCAAAAAAGATTTTAACTTTAAAATTCCCAAGTAGAAGGATCTCTTTGCGTATTTAAAATTTTATGTGTACAAATTTTGGCAAGAATCATTAAGACACTTCTTATTCCCCCAAAATGTATTTTTTATTTAGAAGACAGTAAAAATGAAGCACCAGATTAATGTTAATCCTCCTGGCCATAGCTGCTTGTACTTTCTCCCTTTTTGCCATGACTTTCCTTTACCCTGTTCCAGTCTCATGGTGTCAGAGCTGTGTGTTAAACCACTTCCTGTAGACGATTCACTGTGTTATTTACTGTAGATTCCTGCCAGGCAGGAGGGAGGAGACAGGACTTCCTTTAGCTCAGGTTAACCCTGCAGCTGTTCTCTGTGAGAGCTTGTAGCTCTCAGGTACTCAGGTACTGTGCACAGCCAGCCTCTGAGAGAACCCTGGTGGGAAGCAAGCAATGTTTTCAAACTTACTTTACAAATACACAGAGGCAGGAGGAAAATAAGGCAGGAGAGGGAGACAACTAAGCTTGGATCCGGACCAAGCTGAGTGTTTTGTCTTCTTTCCTTCTTGTGTCTTTCAAAGAGCAGATTTACTTTTTTGTGTGTGTGTGTGTGTGAGGAAGATTGGCCCTGAGCTAACACCTGCTGCCAATATTCCTCCTTTTGCCTGAGGAAGAGTGGCCCTGAGCTAACATCTGTGCCCATTTTCATCCGTTTTGTATGTGGGACGAGTGGTGTAGGTCCATGCCCAGGATCCAAACCTGCGAATTCCAGCCCGCTGAAGTGGCGCATGCCAAACTTAACCACTGCACCATTGGCGGGCCCCCAGGCTTACTTTTTTTAAGAGAACAGATTAGTAATTGTATCTATCTGACTTTGAGGTGTATCAAAGTATATTCTTTCAAATTTGTTTTTAAATGATTTTGAATCAAAATCCAAGGTTCCCAACATTTACATGGCCACCTCAGAAAAAGCCTTGAATTCTATATTCATAAGTGTGAGACTTGATATTCCTTTGGGACTTCAGAAGTCGTTTGGTCCAATCTTATAGCTAACGTGATTTTTGCTTATAGGGGTCTCACAGGAATCTATCAAACTGCTTTGTGATCTTGTGGTTTTATGCTTCCCTTTCTATGTCCTCCCTTATCTTTCAGCTCACAGAAATTTTTGATGACTGCATGCCTTATTTTAAATTACTGTGTTTCCCTTGAATTAGTTTTAGATCTCATTTTAGGTGTCTTTTGCTCAGTTCCTAGATTTTATTCACATGTATTCTATCAACAAATTTTGTGAAAAATCATAAGGGCAAGGAAGATTGAGAAGAAAAGGGGTTCAGCTGTAAATTGGGACTTTTTCTGCTTAGAATGTGCAATAGTAGAAGAATGTACTGCATGCGCCTCCAGTATGCAAAGCCAGTTCCTCCTAATGGATCTTATCGCAACTTCATGACAGATTTCTAAAAATATTCCCCGCAGTTAGCAGTAGAGCACTGGGTTTCCAAGGGGAAGAGAAAGCAGGCATGCCGTGTGGGTTTCACTTAGATGAATAATCTGGAGAGTAAAGCAAATTCTTTTGCCTTTTTTATAGGTTGCGAAAGTGACACAGATTCTGAATTTATATTCAAAATGCAGCATTACAATAAAGATGATATGTCATATCGAAGGATTTCATCTATTGAACCGAAGTCTGCTTTACCATTCAATCGTTTTTTACCCCACAAAAGTAGACAGCCATCGTATGTGCCGGCACCCTTGAGGAAGAAGAAGCCAGACAAAAATGAGGATAACAGAAGAAGTTGGGCAAGCCCAGCCTACTCAGAAGCAGATCTAACATTTCCAAGGTACCGGGATGTGATCCGATGGTTGTTTTAAAATTCAGTATGCTTTGTGAATTTGGTGGGATATTTAAATGTAAAAGGAATGGTTCTTAAGATGTATTTCATAGATACTATATTAAATTTCACTAACGAAAATGTTTTTTCTTACCTATATTTTTAGTCATGCGTATCTTGAAGATATTTCTTCTGTTTTAGAATGTCAGCATATAATTTGCTGGTTGTTTTTTTAGATGTATGCCTTGAGTTTATTGGTATCTCTCAGCTTACTGGATGACTTATTTTGTTCATTGTGAGCCCTGCTGTGTTATTTTTTTCTTTTTTTCCTGCCTTGATTGATCTCAGTGGACACAAAAAGAATCCTTAGTTGCCCATCAAATTAGCAGAGCAGAGTGTGATTTTTCAAATCGAGCTTCCTGTTCGAAGGAGGTGTATGGTTCTGAAAGTGGCTCGGACTCCGAGGATGAACGAAGGTTACCTGATGTAGTTTTGGATGACTTAGCCAACCGTAGATTCCAAGTGAAAGGGAGGCCTGAGAATTTCGTCTTGAAAACCATCTCTCTTAACTCTTTTTCAAAAATATTTTCTCCTGCTGACCCATTAGGCACTGGGATGTACAAACCGATGAGGTCAGAAAAATTTCTCCGGGATTGGAATGTCGATTATGCTGTTGATTTTAATACATAAAGTAACACTCCAAATTGTCTGCAATTTGTCTCTTTCTTTTAGCACATCTTATGATTATCTTTGGCCCTTGTATATCAAGCTATTCTCTAATTAAAATGAAAAGTTATAATGCATTAACTTTGTTCTAGGAGCTGTAATGCTGAGAATGGAAACTAATTTGCTTCATTCACAGTGGTATAAACTTTGTAAGCCGGAAAGCATGCCTTTTGTGTTCTGTGTCAAAAATTGCTCATGCAGTAACTTAACTGGTTGGATATTTTGAACAGTAATGAGAGGAGAACTTGGGGCACACATGTGGAGAACTGGCCAACAGTACAAGAAACTTCAAACTCCTCTTGTTACTTGGAAGAGGCAGAAGACAAGACAAGCATACCCAACACTGTAAAGGATGATCTTTATGTGCGAAAGCTAAGTCCAGTCGTGCCAAACCCAGGGAATGCTTTTGATCAGTTTCTTCCTAAATGTTGGATCCCAGAAGATGTGAACTGGAAAAGAATAAAGAGGGAAACTTATAAACCGTGGTATAAAGAATTTCAGGGATTCAGGTTTGTCCTTGTGCATGTGTCTGTTACTCCCATGTTCACTCTGTACCCTGGCTGGGTGCATTCTAAATGCATTGCTTTTATGAGAGAGACAAGGAAGGGTTAATTTTTCCCTCCAACATCTGTAGAACCTCTGTCATGAAAAAAATTGCTGTTTAAATTTAAACCTTAGGATTTGGATCTTAAGCCCTCTCCTATCTATAGTCATAGCTTGACATTATTTCTAGTAGTTATATTTTTCTTCAATTCTTTTTCCTTTCCTTCCTCCTTCCTTTCTTTGCGTCACTCCACAATAGAAAGAATTCAGACTCTGAGGATGAGGATTCAGGCTCTGACGGAAGCTCTGCCATTTTTAGTAGGATACAAAAAGCAGAGTGTAGGCTAGACAGCAACTGCCAAAAACGTTCACTGTTGCCGGAATTGGCTACCAAACGAGCCGTGGACTCACGGGACACCCATGCAGCCAGGAAAACCAGTGGTGCTTCGGATGAGCCCAGGTGTACCTGTCTGCATGAGCCTACCTGCTTGGAGTCTGGCCTGCGACATCCGTGCCAGCTTCTGCTGCTACATTAACCTCTGCCCATGATGTGCTGAATCATGAAACCTTATTCACTTAATATTCAGTATAAAAGCGTAACGTATAACATATTGCTTTCTGTGTGAGCATTTAAACTTGGCAGTCTGTAGGATTAAATCTTTAGCACAATGTGCAAGAGAGCGTATAGTTACATGTAGCGTAGTGAGTTCTTTTGGAAAACCATTTCTAAGATGCTCTTTAGAAAGTTGACTTAATTTTATGGTTGTGCTATGTGTAGAGATGTGGAGAAAGGAAATAACTTTTAGAGTGGGATGGCCAAGTCTGGTGGGAAGATGTCTAGAGAAGATTCATCAGGGTCTTTTATAAAGCTTCAGAGCATTTTATTTTTTAAATTTCTGCTGACTACCTGTGCCTATTGCATAAAGTGCTTGATGAACAGTACTTGAAACTTTCCAAGATCATTGCTGCTTCTCTGGGATGTGAATCAGGTCATTGTGGCTAATGGAATGAGTGAAAGCAAGTGTTGTGTCTGTCAGGGAGGTGCAGTCAATCTATGCTCTAGCCCCATCACTTGGCCTACATGGTGCCCACCTTTCCTGAGAAGTACACTCTGCTCTTGGTTCTTTAAATGGTATCCAGGGAAGACATGAGTGATGGCGTTAAATGCTAGTCTTTCTTCCACGTGAGAGCCCCTCCTATGGCCCCCTAAGATAATTCACCCATAGTAACTGACGAGTTGGTCTGCTACCTAATTACTTTTTCTCTCCAAACTTAATAAGATTCTCCCTTCCTTTTTCTTTTCTATGCTTCAGTCAGTTTTTATTACTTCAGGCCCTCCAAACATACTCTGATGACATCTTGTCTTCTGAAACAAATATCAAAATTGATCCCACTGCTGGCCCAAGGCTCATAACACGCAGAAAGAATCTCTCTTACGCACCAGGGTATGGAAGAGATGACCTCGAGATGTCAGCCCTGGATCCTGACTTAGAGAATGATGATTTCTTTGTCAGAAGGACTGGGGCTTTCCATGCAAATCCATGTGTTCTCCGGGCTTTTGAAGACTTTAGGTTTTCTGAGCAAGATGATCCTGTAGAACGAGATATAATTCTGCAATGCAGAGAAGGTGAACTTGTACTTCCAGATCTAGAAAAAGATGATATGATTGTTCGCCGAATTCCAGCGCAGAAGAAAGAGGTGCCACTGTCAGGGGCCCCAGATAGATACCAACCAGTCCCTTTCCCTGAACCCTGGACTCTTCCTCCAGAAATCCAAGCAAAATTTCTCTGTGTACTTGAAAGGACATGCCCATCTAAAGAAAAAAGTAATAGCTGTAGAGTATTAGTTCCTTCGTATCGGCAGAAGAAAGATGACATGTTGACTCGTAAGATCCAATCTTGGAAGCTGGGAACTACAGTGCCTCCTATCAGTTTCACTCCTGGTCCTTGCAGTGAGGCGGACTTACAGAAGTGGAAGGCCATCCGGGAGGCCAGCAGGCTTAGGCATAAGAAGCGGCTGATGGTCGAGAGGTCAGAGTGTGTGTCTGCAAGGATTTTGCTTGTAATGGATGGTCTTGTGTAACTTGTGAGAAAGTGACATCAGTGCCCTACTCTGCATGTCATGTGCCATTTTGAAACATCTTATAAAAATTGATTTTGCTTTGAGAAACCTTTAGTCATTTTGTGGAAAAAGTGCAATTCCATATTTGCACATCTCTAAATCACCGATTTGAGGCCTGGTTAAGAAGGTGTAGATACACAAACTCTGCCTTTGGCCTTAAAGAAGACTATGGTACAATTCTGCAACATGTTTCATGAAAATGTTTTCCAATTATTTTTACAGACTTTTATTCTCATGTCCAGGCATTTCTGAAGCAGTCTGGTTGTTCTGAAGATGTTTGCTTTTATGTGTTGCTCATATTTTGGAGTATATGATTTTGTGTAAAAAATTTTCCTTAAAATATGGCATTGCAAATTTGATTTAACTTCATCTTGATTTTTGTTTTTGACCTAGGTTTCTTGGATTATCAATGTGTGACTCTTAGAATTTATAGCTTTTAAAGTTCAGTGCAAACATGATTAAAATGCATGAATGTTATCTACTGTGTGCTAAATTTTACATGTATGTAATTATGGCCATTTTGATAACAATGAGTCTGCATTTATGTTATGCGACTTGCTGTTTTGATGAATGTTCAGTTTGTTGAACTTGGGGTTGGACAAATATGACTTAGGTTGCATAAAATTAGTAGATCTAAATCTAACTTCATTAGTTCCTGGCAACAGGAAACTTTTTGTTATGGATTCGTTGATTCAAAGTAAATCAGGAACCCCTTTACCTTGCTTAATCTGAATTCCTTGAGATATGAGATCATTGAAAATTTGAGACATGATCAAGAATGTAACTGAAACAGCAACCTCTTGAGATTTGTCCATCTCTGATTAGATTCTTATGTTAAAGACGTTAAACATTTGGAAACTAACACACTGGAAAAAATGACTTTTAATTTTTGGTTTTCTGATTTCTTAGACTCTTTCAAAAGATTTATGGTGAGAATGGGTAAGTTTTGTGGTTTACAGTAAAAGCAACTCTGCATATTGTTTGTCCTTTGTGTAATGTGTCACTTTTATCCTGGCATGTCACTAAACTGGGATGCTATGTGCTGTGCATGAAATTTTAAAAATAGGAAATTTTTCTTATTTTTGCAATCTAATGGTAATATTTGTGTGTCTGAGTGCCCAGTGCATGAAGTGCTATATGACAGCAATAGTTTTTGTTTCATTAGAGTTTAAAATTCAGGTCCTTTTTTTTTTTTTTTTTTTAAGGAGTTGATTAAAAGTAGTAAAGCACTTGCCTAAGATTAGTCATATTTATTTTGGCATTTGATTGCTACCTAGACCAAAATTCTGGATGTTAAAGCCCAAATAACTACATTTTAGAAAATCTATGATGGAAAAAGAATATTAGCATTTACTTTGAGGCTGAAAAGCATGCAGTTGCCATTATCTATAAAATCCTCACTCATGGGGAGCCTTGTTAGTTGGAATGGTGAATGGTATTATCTTTCCCTTAGTAGGCTATGGAAACATTTTCAAGATTCCCGATTAGGGCAAAAAGTTATAACATGGCTGTTATAGAGCCAAATCGGCCTTCCAGAACTGTAGGAGTTAAAATCCTGGTCATTTCCAGTATTGTTGCAAGGGCTATATTTATAACTAATTCTAGATTTTTGTCTACTGTTTACCTCTAGTCACCTGGTAGACATAAAATATAAAAATAACTTTGTGGAAGTATTTTCCATTTCTTGAATAACTAAGTTTAAAGTAAATACTACTTTACTTTTACTTTTTACGACACACTATGTATGTAGAATCATTCGTTCTTAGTGCAGAATAACCAGGTGGCTACATCTTAATGTGTTCCACCAGACTTGCTGTAACTTTGTGAATCTAACTGCTAATAGTTTTTGAGCGAGAAGAAAATTTAAGTATGTCAAATATTTTAGTTCATCTAAGCCTTAGTAGCTACATATCTTCCTCTACTGGGGTTTATTTTATCTCTAAGATTCTCTAATTTTGATAGCTTTTGATAGTAATTTTAGTAGCTTCTGAGATCTCTACACTATTTAAGTCAATATAACTGTTCTAGATGTCAAAGGTGTAATTGAGCCATGGACAACTAATTACAAGTACTTCTCAGTTGCTGATTTTTAAGTCAGGCTCCCGGCATGTTTTCGGTGTGCCATGCAAAGACACATTCTCCCCTCTCCAGCTCCTCATGTGCTTAAAGCATTCTCATCGATGAGGCTGAACAAGGCAGTTTTCAGCATGATGCTTCAGCATCTGCTAATCTCAGTTCATCATGGGAAAGCTGTTTTAACTTAATGAAAAATCTCTTTGTAGCTTCAAGCATTTTAAATAACTTCGAATGAAAAAGAATTTTCATTTGTAAATTAAATATGACTTTATAATGTAAGCAGGTTGTTTTTCTTACAGGGATGCTAGTACCCTGAGTACAAGTACTTCATGGAAATGCAAACACGTACAACTATTTCAATGACTGTACATGTTCCTCCTTAGGGATAACATTGTATGACTGGGTTAAGAAAAGAGAAATCTAAATGCCAAAGCTCAGAAAGCTGAGGATTTTTCTGGGCTGTAGCAAGCAGCAGCAAATGCCTTCTGCAGACTTATTTCAAGACGGTTGCTTGCGTAGTACAGTATTTGTTGTAAAGGCTGTTCCCCTTGAGGTTTAGTGCCAAGGTAACAACACAAACAAATCAAGACTGTCTGTAAATTGAGACTGATGAATAATGCATGACTTGTCGAATAATGGAAAGTAATACGAATATGTCTTCAGAAAACTCAAGTGTGTTTCAGACCACTTGCAATCAAAATCTATTATATGGGATTTTTTTCTGTCTTCGATCAGTTACCAATTGTTACTTAAATTGATCTGCAATGAAAACAAAAAATTTAAATTGGATCGAATATAGTCTTTTAATCTGGAACTTGTTTCATGTTTATAAACGTGTTTGTAGTTATTTATAAACACACGATATTTCTGGGTGATATTTCTCTGAACGTAATGTACATTGTCAGGCTTGGAATACTTACCTGGAAAGTCATTATTGCCCAACATCCCATGATTGAAAAATAACTGCCTATAACACGAATGCTTTCTTTTTGGTAAGGACCAGGTTAAAGAAAAATGTGCAATACCTTTTGAAGTTTTAGATTAATTTCTGGCTTGCTTTTTATTTGGCATTTAACACCTATCACTTTGTTTAATTTTAGTAAGGTGCTTTGTATGTGGCAGTCATTTCTCACATGTGCTTTTATGTTGCATGGATTTATGTCTGTATGGTGCCATGACATTTGAAAATTTGGTTATTATGCCTCTTGGCAGAAGCTGTTAAAGACAGATTTGTTGTTAGGGTATATAGCTATAATTTTATAATATGATTAAGGCATTGAATCCACTGCCAGTATCAACAGGAAATGAATATTGATTCAAGGTGAAGTTGTAATCAAAGACAACTAAGACCCATATATTTCACTTATGGGTGTTAGCCAAAAGATTCTGTGGAATTATAAGGACACATAAGACAGCAAAAAGGAAGGGAAAATAAAGTTGATGTGAATTACTTTCTGGGGATTTTGCCCCCTGGGGACATTCGGCAATGTCTGCAGACAGTTTTGATTATTACACTGGTGGGTTTGCTACTGGCATTTAGTACCTTTATAGCCAGGGATGCTGCTAAATGTCCTACAGTACAGAGGACAGCCCCCTACAGCAAATAATTTTGTGTCTCAAAAAGGTCAATAGTGCTGCTGTACGGAAACCCTGATTTAGACTGTAAACCTATAAATGAAAAGTCTCTAATACATTGTCTTATCATTCTAGTTTATTTTAATTCTAAAGCCTCTTACCCAGGTTTTAGTATTGAGTACTCTTCAGAATTCCTACAATACCTAGTGAAAATATATTTAGGAGTGCATAAATATGTTCATATCTTCCCCTTAAAGTTGGGGACCCCAAACTTAGTATCTTGGAATTTCTATTTGCTATAAAAGGCTATCAGTGAGTTTATATTGAGGAAAATTTGCTACATCTTGGTCCTTTTGATCCCTTATTCTTTAGATATTCATATATAAGTTTCCTGAAATTGAATTCTAAAACAATATACATCATAACACTAGTCGAAAAGTACCAGGAGAGTAGTAGGTGATTAGCATCGTGGGAGAGGAGAGTAAGATTTTAGTGATCTTGTTTTATAATCCACACCTTTTTGCTTAAACTTTCCCCTTCTTCCTCTTTTCACCCTAAATGCTATTAAAAAAAGTTCTATTCAACTGAAAATGCAACATGTTAGACCTGTGTCCTTTGGAAAAATTCCAAATGCAGTTCTAAATTGGAGCCTTTCCACATAAGGAAATACAAAGGTGGCAAGTAAATGAATTGTAAGAGAATTGTGATTTACCAGGGAGTAGTAATTCATTCTACAAAACATGTTAGAGTTGTGTAGTCTTTTATAGTTTTCCCAAGCAATTTTCTTGGGACTATCTCTGGTGCTTATCTCAATTCTGTGAGGTAGACGGGTAGGTATTATATGCATTTGAGATATAGAGAAAGAGAAACAGAAATTGCAGCTTTCCCAAGGGTGTACAGCTAGTGAGTGGTAGTCGGACTAGCGCTTCGTCTGGTGAAATAATCCATGTAGACTGCTTGGCTGTGTCGTTGGCACACAGTAAGCCCTCAGAAGTTTAATATTATGCTGTTAACTCTGATAAGGAAGGAAAGAATTCTTCATGATCTGGTTGAAAGATTCCCGCACTCAGCAAGTTCTAGATTGTATCAGTGTGGCCTGGGGTGACCTCTCTCACTTGAAACTGCTTTGGGAGTTAGTTTTCAGGCAATCCCATGCAATCATACTTGCCTTACTAAGAAAAGTTGGTATATAGCACCAGATCGTTATTGAAATGCAATCAACATAACCTTACCCATTTCTCTTAACAATTCCTTCCTTGCTTAGCAGATGAGGAATTGAGGCTCAGAGAAGTTAAATGAAGTTAGGTTGGGGTGAACATCGGTGCCACTGCCAGGCCTGGAGCTCTCACCTCCTGTCTTATTCCCATGTCTGGCTCAGCCTGTATGGAATGTGCTCACGCTTTATATAGATAAATTTATATACCCTAGGGAACAAAAGGAGCTCACATTCCTGCTGTATGCAGGGACTTGTCTACTCTGGATGGTGTTTACCTCACTTTGTTCATACTGGGGACATCCTGTGTGCCAGGCTCTGTGCTATGGGTGCCCAGAAGGACAATGAAGCCTCTGCTTGTGATGAGCACATTTTCTGAAAATATATGTCAAGGTTTTTATGGTGCAGGAGGGTGAGGGCTAAATGAGCACCCATGGATGAGTCTGGGTCATTTGAGACCATCCAGCCTTCCCCTACCAAAAGATTAAGATCTTTGCATTTCCATTTTTGTTCTGGAATTTATGTAACTTCATGTGTTGAGTATCCAGATTCCTCTCATGCCTTGGTCCTGAAAAAATTTTCTTGCCTCTTTTTAGTGAGTCTGTTACAGTATTAGCTCAAATAGCTTTATTCTTCGTTATGACTTCAGTGAATTTATATTCTTGGAATCACGTAAATCTGTTTTATATATAGTCATACCTAGTTAAGTGTATATTATATTGATAGATCAATATATAATTTCATATATGTACTCATATATTCTGTATGTAATTCCTTAATATTCTTAATCCGGTAAAGCTTTCTTTATAAAACTTTGGGGAGGGGTCATAATTTTTCACAAAAATTTAGGAACATTTTAAGTGTAGTTTATTTTGCTTGATCTAAATAATAAAATATACCTCATTCTTAACACAAATGTTAAATGAGTGTATCCTGCATGCCTTGTCTGTGTTAATGTGTTTTCCTCCTAAGCAACATATGAACTTGTGAGGGAGCTAAGCCAAACATGCATGCGTGCACACACTATATGTACACCATAGTGCTGAGTGTTAAATACCACTAGAAAGATATAGCTAAAGCACCAGAGGCATTCAGAAAACCACTTTTCGCATGGAAGAGCTGGGTAGACTTTATCAAAGTGGTAGAATATTATATAGATCATTAATACATCTATGAGTATCATGGGCACTCTTTTAGGCACAGGTAATATAGCAGCAAACAAATTAGACAAAATTCCTGCTTTATATATATAGTCTTACAGGACAAGGCAGGTGATATGTAAATAAACATACATTTCAGATGGAGATAAATGCTATGGAGAAAAAGAGTGAGGGATAAGGTGAGCCAGGGGAGGGGGGGGTATTAGCTATTTCTTCTAGGGTGGTCAGGGTAAGAAACATTGAGGTGACATTTAAGCAGTGACTGGAAGTGAGAGAGAAGCCATGTGGATATTTGGGTGAAGAGCATCCCAGGGAGATTGAAGAGCAAGGAGAGAAGCAAGAGGTTGAGCATAAGCAAGGAACCCAGTAGGCTGGAGCAGTGTGGGTGAAGGGGAATGTGGTGGGAGACGAATGCAGAGATGTAGGCAGGGGCCAGATAATGTCAGAGCTTGTAGGTATTGGAAGGAAATACTTTGAACTCAAGTGAGATGGGAAGAAACTGGTGGATGCTGAGTAGAGGCATGCCATGATCTGAGCTCAATTTTGAAAAGATCTCTCTGGCTGCTGTGTTGAGAATATGCTGTTGGGCAAGAAGAGGTGGAAGCAAGGAGACCAATTATTGTAATAATCCAAGCAGGAGATAGGATGGCTTGGGTCGGAGTGGTAATGGCGGAGGTGGTGAGAAGTGGTTGTATCCTAGATGTATTTAGAAGATAGAATGACAGGATTTACTGGTGGGCTCAGTTATGATGTATGAGAGAAAGAGAGGAATCTGAGGTGATTCCAAGATTTTTGGCCTATACTCTGGAAGGATGGAGTTGACTTTTATTGAGAAGAGGAAGATGGGAAATGAGCAGGCTGTGGGGTGAGCAATCATGTTTTTGGTCTGTGACAAGTTTGAGTTGCCTGTTCGACTTCCAAGTGGAGAATGAAGAGGAAGTTGCATATACCCATCCAGAGTTTAATCTAGCAGGGACCCTGAGGAATAAGTGGCATTTAAAAAGGCATATATATTGGTAAGGGCTTTTGTGTTGGAGGGAACAGTTGAGGAAAGACCTTCACTGCATCTGGAGGCTGGGTGATAATTTAAGCTGCTTTAAAAGTCTAGGTAAGAGTTGACTGTGCTCTGATCTAGGGTGTTGGCGATAGAAATGGAAAGAAAAAGACACTGAATAAGAGGACTTGATAACTAATTGAAGCTAGGGAGAAGGGAGAGGCAGAGGTGAAAAATGGTTCTTCGGTTTCAAATGTGGATGATTAGAGGGCAGGTAACACCATTAACAGCCACAAGAGGAAAAGCAGGTTTGGGGACAAGACTGAGTTTGGCTACATCATCAATAACCATGTGTTTAGTGAGTTATAGTTTACAAAATCTTTTCTAGATTCAATTATTACTCAGTTTACAATTGAGGTGCCTAGGGGATATCCACGCAGAGATGTTTATTTAGCAAGCAAATGGAATTCAGTCAAAAGGGGAACTGGTCCTCAGCTGTAGACTTGGGAGTCATCTGCACAGAGATTATAATTGAATTCTTGAGCTAGCTAGGGGCAAGCACGTTATAAAAAATGTGATGATGGCAAAGTCTTGGGGAAGGAAAAGTTTAGAGGCCCAAGAAGGAGATGTAGAGTTACTTAAATAACTAAAAGTAAAATCAATGACAATGAAATAAAATCAGAAGTGTGTTAGGAAAGGTCTGTAGGGAGGAGCATTATGGGCATCCCAACTTTGAAAGCTCTGTCTCTCATTCCTACCTGCTTTTCAATATTTAGATCTGATTCCTCTCTGGCTGGGAGGCCTTCCTCGGTCCCCCTTCTCCAATATGGTTTACCATCCCCTTCTGTGTGTGTGTAGACAGCTCACATATGCCTCATGTCCAATACCTCACTGTTCGTTGGTTTCTGCTGTAGATTGAGCTCTTCAAGAGCTAATCCTCAGAACATACTTATGACAGGTGTCACATAGTGAAGACATGAAAGCTGCCTCAATAATAATAATAAATAAAAAGGCTGTAGAGATTGTCATATTATAACTGGCTGGTAGAAACTGTGGTGCTTTGAGAACAAAGTCCAGTGCAGTGGTGGGGCAGAACTTACAGAATCCTTGAGAAGCAGCACATTTGTCATGGTATTGAACTTGAGGAGAAAATATCAGGTAATCATTAAATTATTTAATAAGTGCCTAGAAGAGGCAGCCAAACCTTAACAGATTATCTTTGGGTGAGATAGAAAAAATAAAGAGATGATTCTAGTGACTAATAATTATTATTTTTTTCTAAAGTAATCCTTATATGCATGGACCACTCCAAATATGAACATTGGATTATTTTTTTCAGACTTGTGCAGGGTTCATTTAGCCATTTTGTGAAAGAGTTGAGCGTTAGGCTCTTGTTTCTGCGTTTTGGAAAAACACCATTTATCTCTGTAGTGCTATTTTTGTGATATCACTAAAGCATCTAGGTAGTACAGCAGAAATTTAGATGGAATTTCTAAATATGAGCCCAACTTTCCAGTTTTAACCCTAAATCTGGTCATGTGAACCTTGGTTACCATGGGTGTTTTTGTTGTAGGAGTAAATCCATGAGTGATGTCAGCGCAGAGGATGTTCAGCAGTTGCGTCAGCTGCGTTACGAGGAGATGCAGAAAATAAAATCACAATTAAAAGAACAAGATCAGAAGTGGCAGGATGTGAGTATTCTTTACACTGGGAGATGGGACGACTGGGAGAGTGTATTTGATTCTTCTTTGCTTCTCTTAAGAGAAAGTCAGTATACTCGAGATGATTTTCCTTGCTATTAGCGAATTCAATTCTGTAGAAAATGAGATCAACTTCCTTTAAAAAGATTTGTAAAACTTTTTTTGGCGTATTACTGTTGCATATTTTAAAAGCTATTGTGAAAATATAATAGGATGTTTATCGTCTAATATTCCCAGTGAATTCTCAAAAAGGTAAAGCTGCTTCCTTGTGGTATAGTTAACTTGTTTCCTTGTTTTGGTGGCTGAACTGGGGGAAGACTGTTACTGAGGCTTGTGAAAGGAAAAGACTTTGCTTAAGGTGTGTGGGTAACAGAGGAGCAGAGTGGGAGAGTGTTGGCATTAGCAGGGAGAGATGAAAAGCGCTCTTAGAGTTCATAGAGGAGATTTGGGAAGAAGTAAGAAATATAACTTGGAGTAATATTTTGGTTGAAAAAGTATTATCTAATATGAATCAAAATTAGACGTTTTCACAGAGCTGACTTATATCCAGATGTTTATATGGATATAGACTTAATCTTTAGCTTTGTCCCTGCAGGAAAAAAGCTTGACCTTTTTTTGAAAGGGGTAATTATTATAAACTACAGTAGTGTACAGAAATACAATAGATAAATTATACAGAGAAAACCAAAAGAAGTTTGAGGACAACTTTATGGTAAGAGTTAAGAGATAGCAAGAATAAAAAGGCCAGAGATAATAAATTTTAATTTTCAAAGGGATTCAAGTCTATGAAATATAGAAGAAACCCCTGCCTTGGCTACATTTCTAAATTCCAGTACCTCTTTTAGTTGAGAACTCAATTAAATTGTCAAGAAACAGTAATTCAATGTCACTTGGCCAAAATACCTGGTGACTGTTTCGGTATGAAAATAAGTATTGAGGGGTTATCCGTTAGGTTAGGTCAGATGAAAATCATGCTGATTATCCTATAGGACTCAGTGCACACTGCTTTTGTTCTTCCTGGAAATAGTTCATATTGGTTTCAGGCTGTTCTTAAAGCAGCAGTGGCCCTGTCTACCCCCAAAGATATAGACCAAACTTTGTCTAGTCTGAGATCTTGGATGTGCTTCTGTTTGGACTAGAGAGCCGCTAGCAGTTCTTAGCATGGGATTTCTCTGTTTTGGAGACATAGAAAAGTTTGTACCATCCAAAATGCCTTAAACCCCAGGGTGTCAGAACCAGCTCAGTCAGGCTGCTGGGGCTAATTTGAAAGCTGAGTAATGTTGATCGTCCTGGGGTCACCTAGCTGGGTTAGACTTCTATTCCTGGGAATATGGGAAACACGTATCCACTTGTTCCTGCATGGTCTCCCTCATTGTCCTGACCTTACAGTTTACCCGCTTTGAAATCACGTACTAAAGTCAGGCCTCCCCAGTAAATCCTTTCCAAACCATGCCCGCCCCGCCTGGGGTGGAATTAACCACTCTCTCCTTCAGGCCCCCACTCTCCCATCAATCCTGTCCCTCGTTATTGAACTTCAGTTTACATGTCTTCCCCTTCTACACTGAGAGTTCCCTGAGGGGAACCACCTCCTATTCATCTCTGTGTTCACAGTCCCCCACCTCCAAGCAGGGACCCAGGTCAGTGCTTGTTAAATGGAAGACCGAGTGTGCATCTACATTTAACCATTACAATCGTGTCTCTGTTCCAGTTTTACTAGTGAGACATGTCATTTCACAGAACAGTCTGATTATTGGAGTGAGATGAAAATAAGTTTGAACCAGTTCCTAATCTTTCTGACCTGGCACCCAGTTACAAGCATTTAGCATTCTTTGTGAAATGGGCAACGAGGCAGGAAAACAAAAATGGGGTCTGTCTTATTAGGTCAGGTTATTTAGACACACGAGATAAAGGCTTGGTACAGAAACGCTGGCTATAAAAAGCAAAATTAGGGCACCTTGGCATCAAGTTGGAGTGAATAGTTTCAGCGATGTAATGGGATACTCTGGCGCACCCTCACTGCTAGAAGGGGTGTGTAGAAATTCAGGTATGCCTGTGCTGATGTGATTTCTTCTGTCAGGACCTTGCAAAATGGAAAGATCGTCGAAAAAGCTACACTTCAGATCTGCAGAAGAAAAAAGAAGAGAGGGAAGAAATTGAAAAGCAGGCCCTTGAGAAGTCTGAGAGAGGCTCTAAGAAATTTAACGAAATGATGCAGGACAGGTAATAAGGCTGAATGCATCTCATGGTTGGAGATACCGGTGTTAGAAATAGATATTTTGTGTAAGTGTAGTGTGATATAAATGTGCACCAATATTAAACTGTAATCAAGTATGCATGAAACTTTCAGCATTTTTCTCTGCAGTGAAAAAGCAAAGTATTTCTGTGATAGTGACTTGGATTAACGAAAGAAATGAATGCTTAATTTAGGTGTGCATTATTTCTTCATTTTACATTGTATATTCTTATGCAGAGTTGAGTGGTGTTGGCTATATTTGGTGCAGAAAATAAGCTTTTACTCCTTTGAATTTAGAAATGGAATGGTCAAATAAAACCAGTTCGCATTTTTAACTAAATTGTGTAAAATATAGCAAAGTTCTTTTTCATGGCTTAGTGGTGCAATTAAAATTATATTTTAAGGAAAGACTATATAAACATAAATGTGAGGGTTTATTTTTTGCATTGCAACATAGCGGGATAAAGGTCCAATTTAAACTTTCCTGTAGAGCAGTTACTATGGGAAACCCTGGGATATGTACAGGTCAGGGAGAAGGCAAATATGCTTTAAGGCTAATGTCAAAAAGGAAATGTGCTGTCAGGTGAAATTAAACAAAGCTCTTTTGTGCCCCAGAAGCCAGTGGTAAACACAGTTTCATTCACTTCAGTGCAACACAGTTAGCTTGAGAGGTACTCCTTATAAATGGTAGCAATGAGACTGTTTCATCAACTTCTCTATGAATATGAATGATGCCTTGAATCCGTAATAATTGTCTATGTAAATTCTATCAAGCTATATGGAATCATTTAGTAACTTGATCTTAATAGAAGTCTGAAGCTTTTGTGGTCTTTTATTTTTACTAAATTATAAATTGTATATAGGAAAAAAGCTCACAAAGCTGTTGAGGAATCCACATCTTTGGAGGGATCACACTGGTTGTCAGACAATTAGTTCTATTTATAGTGTGCTAATATTGGAAGAGTTATAGACTTGTGGATAAAACTTTGTGAATAATCCTTCATTAAAATTTCCTTATTATAAAATCTCTTTACAATTAAAAAAATCCCTCTGAAGTATCTGAGAGTCTCTTTAAAAAAAAGTCAAGCTTTTAATATCATAGTGTGGCATAAAAAAATTGCATGTTTTTATCCTCCTATGCTGTTAATATTGTATTGATTATTGTGGGAAGCCAGTAGTCTTTTTATTCTCACACCATCTTATATGTTAATTACCAAAATGACATCTCTCTCTCCACCTCTGTGTGTCAAATGCATAACTTTGTGGTTATGGTGTGCTTCTTTCTGCTAAGGGAGTCCCGAAACCAAATGTCTACGATTACATTGAGGAGGAGGATATATTCTGATGATGATATATTGAATGAAGAAAAACTTCCCTCTACATTGGCTATGTCAGAAATGAGTTACCAGAGTCAAAGAGAAGAAGAGAAGGGAACGACTTATCCTACAGAAATTCCTAAACAAGATTCTACAACTTCTGCAAAAAGAGAGGAGACCATAACAGCTGAAACTCAGCTTCCGTCTAAAAGCTCTTTGGAGGAACAAGGCCCAGCCTCTTTGTCTTCTCTGCGTTCACTGAGTACACAGATGGAGATGACTCGAGTTTCAGCTTCTCTCCCTAGAAGTTACCAGAGAGCTGATACAGCCAGGTTAACATCTGTGGTTGCACCAAGACCTTTTGGCTCGCAGTCAAGGGGAATCTCATCCCTCCCAAGATCCTACACGGTAAACATGCTCCCAGTTCACGTAGTCCTTTCTCAAGAGCAACATGTTGGTGAACTTGTGCAGAAGTTTGAGTTACATAAGCTTGCTGTGTAAAATGTACATAACTTATATATAAAACAATTTTATTTTAGCCAATTTGGGTTTAATAGACATTTAATGCTTAAAATATAGCAACGATCCAGAATTGATTAAACTTTAAATGCAATGAAAGGAGGCCTGATACATTTTAAAGAATGAATAAGCTACATTCTCCTAAGGCAGAGCATTTATTTTTTAGTCTTATTTTCTCAAATATAGCTTTTGTAAAGTATTAGGTTGAACTACATGAAGTTGCCAGTAGTCAGTTCTTTTTGACCTACAAAGCAGCAATTTTATGTGGTTTAACCTAAATATTTTCAGGTGCTTATGTAGAAATTTCTGTTTTTCCTGATTTCCCACTTCATTAGAACTTGATATGTTTGAATGTAGTTATTAAAATGTATCTCATGGTTATATACACACACACACACACACACACACACACATACATACATACATACATACATACATACATACATACATACAACACACATATATCTATTAGGATTTTTAAGAATATAGAATATGGAATCATTTGCCCTGAGAATGAAGCAGCCCACATACCTGAAAGTGGGTGTATTAATTTTAATTATGTAAAAGGAAGCAATACTTCCTTAAGAAGACCAGTGTTCATATTCCTTTTACCTCTGCCAATGTAGAATCCTAAAATCTAAAAGAGAAAAAATTTGATTAAAAAAATATTTGAAGTGAGGGAAACTTCCCTAAGCTAGTCAGGAAATTCCTGACCATTATATTAAGTAAAATAAAGACATATTGGACAACATAAAATTAAGTTTATATGATAAACACTATTAAGATAGTCAAAAGACAATTTATAGACTTAGAAAAACACTAGTAAAATGTATTATAGATATAGGGTTAATATCCCTAAGATTTAAAATGCTCCTACAAATTGATAAGGAAAAGATAAACAGTAGAAAAATGGAGGTAGAAGTGAATAGCCAGTTCAAGGGAGAGGACATTTAAATGGCTAACATAAAGCACATAGAGGCATGATCAACCTCATTAGAGCAAGAATGAGGTGTATAACTTTTCACAAAGATTTAAAACATTCAAAATGTCTAGTGTTGGCAAGGATGCAGAGAAACAGACAGTCTTATACATTACTTTGGGAGTGCATTGCTACAATTTAAGAGAGATATATAATTTGCATTTATAATATATATATAAATATCTTTTGGCTCAGCAAGTCTACTTTTGGGAACCTGTGCTATAAAAATTTCCCATTATAAAGAGATGTGGGTATTGGTTGCAGTATTTTGTAAGTTACAGAAAACTATAAACAACATTGAATGCATATCAAATGAATTAACGGTTGACATCTGTACTATGGAGTATTCAACAATTCAAAAGTTTAGAGTTCTATCTGTTGACCTGGAAGGATATAAAAGAGCAAAACAAGTTTCAGAAATCTGTTTATAATATGAACACTTTTGTAAAGACAACTATCCCGCCCACTACATATGTGCATATCTGTTGGTGTGAAGGACTGTGCTCCAACCTTTTAGCAATAGTTGCTTTGCTGTGGGAGGTGTATGTTACTGTTACAAATTTAAAATGTAATGTTTTTTAAAAAGAAATAAAGCTAACAGAATACCAAGTTTAAAATGATGTTTCCTATTTAGATGGATGATGCTTGGAAGTACAATGGAGATGTAGAAGGCGTTAGGAGAACTCAAATCAGTTTGGTCAGCACCTCTGCACAAAAACCCACCACAAGCCAGACTGCTTCCAGCTGGTCCAGCGAGAGAGAGACAGCAGTAGCGGGAGAAGCTGTGATGAGGTCGCCCTCTCCTATATCCTCCTTCTCATCTCTTTCCCAGGACCAGGCCGCCACTTCTAAAGCCACCTTGTCTTCAACATGTGTCCCTGATTTAATGTCTGAGCCTGGAGAAGGGAGAAGCTCTCCAGAGACAGAGGTTTCAGGATCACAGGTGAGTTTGGGAAGGCTCCTTATCACTTGCTACTCTGAAACCTAACTATTTAAATTTGGAAACCATGTTTCAAAATCTCTAGGCATTATAGTCTGGGCTGATAATGTGGAAAATGAGATTGCATTTTATTTTCAACAGATCTTGGAGGAAGTAGGTCTCTTCTAACTCTGGATTTATGGATCCAGATAACCCTTGTGATATGGGTGCATTGAGATTTTTTGGACTGATCCCTTTGCGTTGTGGCTGCTTTTTCTCTCTACTCCCCAGTTGAGCAGCTGTTGCCTTACACTACTGCTGCTCAACAGTCCCGGGTTCAGGTGCAGGAATCACTCGAGAGGTTTCAGATGCAGGTCTAATAGATAAATGGGTAATAAAAGCCCCTTCTCTGGGAAATTAACTGGCCACAAGGAGAAATTGGTACACACCAGAGGTGCTGGCCTCTAGGGACATGGTGTTTCTTTTTCTATCATATTCTAGTGACTTTTAATACTAATTTTTACTTTAGAAAGTCTAGAATTTTATGCCACTCCTTGTCTCTAAATGTTACAGCATGGCATACGAATGTCATAGTTACAGTATGACATTTGTGTTCCTTCACATTTGGAGTCCAAACGAAATAAACCATCAGATAAAGAATGACAGAGGCATTTGTAGTTTTTCCTACTTAAAATCCCGATAGATGACTTAAGACAATTATTAGGTAGTGAGTGTTCTTTTACTATGTTTTACATGTAGGCTAAAGAGTTGTTGGTTGTCTAGTGGACAGAAAAGACCCTTGTTAAGCAATTTGATGGTTGTATGAATTCCTTAGCATGGAGGAGCTTTTGCGGTTCTTTGACTTAGTCTAGCATTCTCTGGAGCCTTACTAGAATGTATTTGTTTTCCAAGGTACAACATAAAGTATATAACTTGGCCTGAGTTATATTAAGGAAATAACTTTATGTGAAATAATTTGATATAGCATATTTATTATTAGATTTTTATTAGTATAGGAAAGCCTTACAAGTTGAGGATTTTTTTTCTGATTATAGAGTACTATGTGCTTGAGAAAATTTGGAAATGCAGGAAAGTATACATAATAAAAATCACTGGTAATTGCATCATTTAGAGATAATCTGTTAGTGTTCAGGTATCTTTCTTTCAGTTTTTCCCATGCATATTTACAAACATATTTAAACTATTTCTTCATTCCTCTAAAATCATTAGCTGTAAATTACTTTGTTACTCCATTTTTAAAAAATTGGAAATATGTACAGTCAGCTCTCTGCATCTTTGGGTTCTGCTTCTGCTGATTCAACTAACTGTGGATCGAAAGGCCTGCAATGGTTGCGTCTATACTGAACATGTACAGACTTTTTTCCTTGTCATTATTCCCTAAATGATACAGTATAACAACTATTTACATAGCATTTACATTGTATTAGGTGTTATAAGTAATCTAGAGATAATTTAAAGTATACAGGAGGATGTACATAGGTTATATGCAAATACTACCCCATTTTATGTAAGGGACTTGAGCATCTGTGGATTTGGGTATCCATGGTGGGGGGCATCCTGGAACCCAGTACCCTGCAGATACTGAGGGAAAGCTGTAATTAGCATTGTAAGTTTCAATGGATGAGAACAATAGCCTGTATTATACTTGGTGAACATAAGATACCTATGGATGAATACTGAAAACAGAAGCAAGGTGTCTTTTGTTTTATGGACTTGCGTGTTTGGCTTCACTTTTTCAATAGCAAATCCAACAAAACGGCCTGATGAATGTATTGTGAGCTAGGTGGTGGTAACTCCCTGGGGGTGGCAGCTGACTAGCTTCATCCATGGATTAAGAAAAAGAGGCTAAGGGAGGTGTGTGGGTGTGTTCCAGGTTATTGCAATTCAGAGGAAGCTGAATTAACATGGCATGGTTTCAGGTTTCATCATTAATGGATTTATGCTCCTTTGTAATCAAACTGAAAATGATGTTCTACTGAGCAAAATTTTGTTGTTAGTGCCGTTGAGTCAATTCCAACTCCTAGTGACCCTGAAGACAGCAGAGTAGAACTCTGCCAGGTCTTTTTTGCACCATCCTCTTACCTTTCGGTGTGATATCAGGCGATGCTCTACTGCTGTTCATGGGTTTTCATGGCCAGTTTTTTCGGAAGTGGGTGGCCACGTCCTTCTTCCTAGTGTGTCTTAGTCCGGAAGCTCTGCTGAAACCTGTCCACCATGGGTGACCCTGCTGATATTTGAAATACTGCTGGCATAGCTTTCAGCATCACAGCAGCTCACAGCCACTGCCACAGTATGACAACCGACAGATAGGTGGTGTGGTTTCTTGACGGGAAAATGTATTCAGGTTGCGGCAGTGAGCATGCTGAATCTTAACCACTGGACCACCAAGGCTGGCATCAAGCAGAATTAGGCTTTATTTAAAAAACATAGAGATTGGAATTCTTGAACATATGTGTATATCATACGGCGACTTGCCTATCCCCGAGGTGCTTGGTGTGTCCACTTCTGTGGTAGGAGGAAAGTAGCTTATGTAGCATCACTCTGCTCTCATCACTGAGAGCTTACTGACTGGGTGAAGGGCTGTGACTGTACAAAATGGCCGATGACCAGTCTGTCAAGGGCATATGCAACACTCTTCCAAACTCTGGTCCAAACTATAATTCTAGGAGTTCAGAGAATAACCAAAAATGGTGTGTGGCTGAACATCTACATGTCTTGGTAGCTTTGTGAGTGTTCTTCAGGTCTTCTTTCTCTTTCTTACTTCCCCCTTTAGCTGGTAATGTCCTTTAATTTCTTCCTCCAGAATCTCCCTTGATGTTCTTTTCTATCCCTGCCTCACTACCATGATTCAGGCCCTTTCCCCATCAATGCAAACACTTTGTTTTTTTTTGTTTTTTTTTTGTTTTTTTTTTTAAAGATTTTATTTATTTTTTTTTTATTTTTTCCCCCCAAAGCCCCAGTGGATAGCTGTGTGTCGTAACTGCCACATCCTTCTAGTTGCTGCATGTGGGACTCGGCCTCAGGATGAACGGAGAAGTGGTGCCTCGATGCGCACCCGGGATCCGAACCCGGGCCGCCAGCATCGCAGCGCGCGCACTTAACCACCAAGCCACAGGGCCGGCCCAATGCAAACACTTTGTAAAGAGTCACTCGTATTCGTGCATGCCGCACAGGCTGGCATCAGATTAACTTGCATGATGCCAGGCTGGACTCAGTAATTTCTCTGCTCCAAAGACTCCAGTGGCCCTCTGTGGTCTGTTTGATGAAGTTCAAAGCACTTGGGAATACTGAGGTTCCTCATGACTGGCCCCAAACCCCCTTTGTAGTACTGTGACAGCTAACATTTGAGTGCTTCCCATGTGCCAGCTAAGCTTCAGGGCGTTGTCTTAGTTAATCCTCTCAGTGACCCTCTTTTCTCTGTTTTATAGTTGTGAAAATTGAGGCACGGAGTGGTCATGTTACTTGTTCAAGGCGGTGCAGGCTATTGAGTGGTGGAATCAGGATTTGAACCTAGGCAGTCTGACTCAAGGTCGTCTACACCACACTATGTTGTGGGAAAGAGAGGGGAAGTGAGTGTTCTAGCCGTGTGCGACTGCTTGCTTTTTCTTGAACACATTGTATACTTTCAGGAACACATCACATATATTTGTTCTTATTGTTGCCTCATTTGAAAATGTTCATTTCACCTGTCTCTGTCTTTTGAAGTCATCTGTTCCTTCAAAGCCCAGGAGAGTCACTTCTTTCGTAAATCAAGATATCTCCTCCCCATAGTTGGAACTGAACTTTTCACCTTTTGCCAGTTTCCCTTGATGAATTCTTCCTTGTTGCATATGTTCATAGTTTCTCTTTCACTGGTATTCTTTATACCCTCCACAGTCTTTATGCATAGTTGGCACTTAAGTATTTACTGAGTTGAATTGCGTTCAAGGCCTTGATTACTAGACTGAAGTATGAACTTGATCCAGCAGGTAATTTAGGTCCTTATAGGTTCTTTAATTTGGAAATTTTAAGATTAAGAGGTGTTTTAGGAATGTAAGCACTGTGATGCTACATAGAATTATGTTAAGGAAATGAAGTCTGGGGGCAAAGACTGGTTAGGAGCCTATCACAGAATTGTGGTAATAAGTTGGTTCATACCATGAAGCAGGAAAGATGCTTTGAAGGAAAGAGCTTAATGTAACTTGGTTTAAAATCTGCCCAAAGGAATTTCTTTCGATCTCCATTGCTGAGCTGGGGGTTTTATTCCTCTCTATTCCCTCTTCCTCCCTACTTTTCTTGTGGTATTGCTTTTTTATGTGCCTCCCTTGCCAATGCAGGCTGCCAGGGGTGACTCCTAACAAGGAGAGAGACTATGACTCGCAGAGTCCTTCATTCTCCTCCAACTGCCTCTCAGATGTAGCTTTCAGATTTTTCCGCAAATTGATGTTGCCTACAGGTTTTTGTTCCCTTTTGTCCTGTTATAGCCCTCTGCTCTCAAACCCCATCCAAACTCACATTTTGGAACCTTTGCCCCAGATTTTTTAAAGCAGTGCCCAGAGTAGGATTATACATATGGAAGGAAGGAAGCTTTTTAAATGTCCGTTTCCAGGTTCCCAAGCCTATGAAAAGTACCTGTTTTAATAGCACCCAGGGCTTACCTTATCACAACTTCTATCATGCATTTTACTTCACTAGACCCTACTCTCTGAGGGTAGGAAGCAAGCCTGTCTTGCTCACTGCCTGCACAGTGTCTGGATCTGTAAGTATTTGTTGAATGCTGACTGGGTTCTATTGGCTTAAGAGCTAAGTACGTGCGAGTTAAACAGCATTTTCTTTTTTTTTTTTTTTTAAAGATTTTATTTATTTATTTTTTCCCCCCAAAGCCCCAGTAGATAGTTGTGTGTCATAGCTGCACATCCTTCTAGTTGCTGTATGTGGGACGCGGCCTCAGCATGGCCGGAGAAGCAGCGCGTCGGTGCGAGCCCGGGATCCGAACCCGGGTCGCCAGCAGTGGAGCGCGCTCACTCAACCACCAAGCCACGGGGCCGGCCCCTAAACAGCATTTTCTTTAGTTGATCTGGAAACTGCTTAACTAGCATATATGTCATGTATAACATTGTTTTCATGAGAAAAAGAAGGTAATTACTTGGCATCAACCATGTGCCTGGGCACCTTTTAAATGCTTCATTTAATCCTCTCAATAGCCTTACTAAGTTGGTGGTATTATCCCGACTTCTACTAATGAGATACTTGAGATTTGAAAGTTATGTAACTTGCCCCAGGCTGGTTAAATTGGTCCACAATTGCTATTTCTCTGACCCTAATTTTTTTTGAAATATGACTTGCTCAAATTTGAGAACTGCCTTATGTATAGATAAAACACCAAATGTTGACTTATTTTAATTTTGCTATGTCTTTAGAATTTTAGTGTCAATAGGGACTGAAATATCTTCTGATCCATAAAGATAATCATTCTTAAAATTGTTTTGAGGAAAGGTATATATTTATTGAAACTTTTCAGAACTGAATCTGTTTCTGAAATGTAGTTTGAAATCTACCCAGTAGGCAGTAAGGAGCTACCAGCAATTTTAAAATGGAGTGTGATATAATAATCAGCATGTTTTGTAACTAAAGTTCTGGCAGCTGTGTGGAAGACAGAGGTAAAGAAGGGCTAGAGGCAGGCAAGCCTATTAGGAGGTGACCACAGTAGTTTAGAGGGGAGACCATGACCCAAACTATGATAACCTGAAGAAGGATGGAGGGACAGGGTGATTCAAGATGGTTTTATGGATTGTGAACTTGATAGCACTTCATTAAGTGCATGTGTGTGGTAGAGAGTGAAGACCATTGTGTGGAGCTAGGTAGGGAGTAGTTAGGAAAAGGAAGGGAGGAAGAGTCCCCGAAAGAACCTGGTATTTCTAACTTGGGCATCTGGTTAGATAGTGATGTAGTTGACCAATATGTGAAAAACAAGAGGTGGAAGAATAGTCTGGGGAGGAAGATAATGAATTTGATTTTGGATATGTTGGACTTAGACAGTAGTTGAAGACATAGCAGTGACGAAAGTTACTCAAGAAAGCTTCTAGTCAAAAAGATGGGAGATTGGCTAGGGAAAAACAACAACAAAGTGAAAATAGAAAAAGAGAAACACACTAATGACACTGAGAAGTTGCCAGAGAGTTGGAGGAAAAAGGCAGGAGAAGGTGGAATAATGGGTGACTTAGAAGACGGTTTCTGAACGCAAGAATAGTTGGTAGTGCAAGGTAGGATGAGGACTGAAAAATGGGTTTGGTAGGTAAGAGATAAGCTTGGAATGGGTTGACTAAAGTGGTAGGGCTGGAAACACCTCCTGCCTCTTTGAAATAGAGAAGTGGAGAAAGTAGGTATAGACACGTCTTTGGTGAAGGAGAGTAGCTCCAGTGCTAGAACAGCACTATGATTTGAGGGCTACTCAGTTATGTTCTCATCCCACTAAGACCCTGAAGAAAAGACACTAAAGAACCGTGTGTACAGAAATCAACGATTATGTATTTCCTGTTATTTATGACTTTAGAGTGTGAATATTTTAGTGTTTTATTTAATTTTATCAACGTAAGTAGCTTTCCCTTAGGTCAACGTATTTATTTAATTGAAAAAGTTTGGGGGGAATAGCTTTCTGAGTTGTTAGTACGTAAGATTGACCCCGTTTTTCATTAATTTCCACCTGTGGTGATAGGAGAATCTTATCATCAGATATCCCCAAAATAAATCTAATCTTTGCTACTCCAGATCATCATGTTTTTGTTTAAAAAGTTCGGGCTTTCATTGTGTACTTCTATTTAATATCTAATTAGAGGGAAATTATGTTTAAATGCTGATATTTTGGTAGATAACTAATACTTTATATTTTCCAGCACAGACAACTCAAACCACTTGGGATAGTTCTTTATCAGTTATCAAGAATCTAGATTTCCCCCAATAATTTATATTACTGGTTCCATCCAGTTCAAAAAGTAGTGCTTCCGTTATCATCTTCCGAAGCATGAATCCTTTGTAGAATACTCATGCGGCATCTATTTTGCAGAGATAAAGAAGGAAGTAGAAATCCTAACTGAAATCATTGTTGAATAGTTTATACTTGATTATAGTTGTAGATATGTTCCCCTGCAAGGAGTCTCAGGGGTAACCTAATGCAAGAACCCAGAGATTCCACAGAGAGGCCTGAGGGACTGCCATCACGGTGAGTCTCTGGGGCCCTTACCTTGAAACTACAGCCACTCACTTTAATCCTTTCTATATATTGGTTTGGGAGGAAGGTGGTCTGCATAAGATTTTCATTTGAAAAATAGGGTTTTGAAAAACAAAAAGCTTGAAAATCAATGTCGTTGTTAAAAGGGTCTGCCAGACTCAGTGGCATGCCTGAGATTACCTTGTTATTGACAGAAATGGACCTGTAATTGCTCATGTGGCTCTCTCCTCCTCTGCCTGTGTACGGTCCCAAGGACCCACACATCTGCAGTCTGCCAGGCTATAACCTTGGTGAGACTGTCCTCTGTCAGCTATTTCAGAGAGGTGTTTATCTGCCTTTTTGTTTAATGTGTTCAAGTAGAGATTTCTTTATTTCCAAGGTAAGAGCAGCCCTTTGTGGGGCAATTCTTCTGGTCTAATAAAATTGAGATTCTTCCATCTATGGCTTAAGCTCATTCTGTTTTATCCTGTATTTGGTAGAAAAGGATAATATTCACTTGCTGTCTCCCACAAAGTATTCTTTATGTAGTTTGGGACTACTTATTAAAACTCCATCCTGTCTTTTATTCTTTAAGATAAAAAACCTCAATTAGGGTCTTGAATATCTAACCCATCATTTGTCTCTCTGCCTTTATGTAACAATAGATTCTGAACTTTAATTGGCTTTAAGTTGGGTTTTTTGTTTTTTTGGTAAGAGTGGTGAAGATGACCACTTATTTTCATTGAGTCATCTCTAATTTAAGTGCATGGTGGTTTTGGTTAAGAAGTGGAACTAACTGGTAATTTTTTCTATTCATAGCAGAGTTTTATTCTGGAGGTTGGTGTTCATCAGGCTGATTATTAATGAGTGTTCTCACTATCTATATCTGGATTCCCATATTTCAGCTGCTTTACAAGCTTTATGATGAACACTTTTCTATATTATTAGCTGTAAATATATTTTTTTCTTACTTAAGAAAATCCCATACCCACTGTTGAACAGTTGATTACTTCTAGAAAGCAAGGACAATGCCTAATTCATCTTTGCAAGGACATTGCCTAATTCGTCTTTATTTCCTAAAGTGCTAAGCACTATGTCTTATACACAATAGATGCACAATAAACGTAGAACAAATGAATAAGTGATTACTGTTATGGCCCTTAACTTCTGTGTCCATGTAACGTAGTAAGTTCTCAATCCTTTATTTATTCAACACCTTCCTTCTAATTCTTATGTATTATCACAGTTTTTCTCAGAATATTGTCACTTGGATTTAAAACTTGTTTTAGAGGTGGAAAAACTTAGGCATAAAGCTTTATGAATTGCCCAGTTGGCCCTAGGTTTGAGTGTAACTGCCAAATTAAAATGGAGAAGTTGTAGGTCATTTTCTGGAAAATAAAATGGCTTTAGGAAGAATTTTATTTTTAAAGCAGTTAAGTCTACGTTCTTTATGATTATGAATCAAAGAACTAAAACACTAGTCTGAGGAACTCATTATGTTAAAATTCATATATGCTGCATTCCCAAAACAAAACACATAAATTGTGAAAGATAATTAAATTTTTCACAGACAATAGTATACTGTAAAACTTAAAATGGTTGTTTTGGAAAATGGCTTAAGAAAGTCTGTGAAATTTTGAATTTGTTGCTGTGTAGTGTAGTGATGGAGATGGAAGGAGAGTTCTGTCTGTTATCCAAGAGGCTGTTGGTTTTGGGTTTATGGGCTGATGTTTCTTCAAGGAAGTTATGACCTGTAGTTCAGGGTGTCTCAGTAGAGGCCCTTTTGGCATCTTACGGGGGCTTCCTCGGGGATGACATAGTTGTGCGTTTTGCATCTGGTGTAGCAGCTCTGCCTTTACCCCTAAATTTTCCTTTGGCAGTGGGGCAAGCAAAAATGCCTTGCCCAAACTTCAGGTGCCCATTAGAGGATGGTACCAGTCCTAGATGAGCACTACTGGTAGCTGAATTATGTGTCTGTGAACCCCTTGAAATTATTCAGCTAAATATGTTAAATGTTGGAGAGGTAGTTTTTAAAATAAATATGGTAGCATTTTTTAAAGATTTTATTTATTTTATTTTTTCCCCCCAAAGCCCCAGCAGATAGTTGCATGTCATAGCTGCACATCCTTCTAGTTGCTGCATGTGGGACTCGGCCTCAGGATGGACGGAGAAGTGGTGCCTTGATGCGCACCCGGGATCCGAACCCGGGCCGCCAGCATTGCAGCGCGTGCACTTAACCACCAAGCCACGGGGCCGGCCCTGTAGCATTTTTTAAAATGATATTTAAATTACTCAATTTCATTCCTGAGTAATAACAGATGGTCTGTAAATTAGATCCAGTTGTACAGTTGTATGGTGAGCAAAAACCTAATCTTTATCAATGGCCAACTAATTTATAGTATTAATGTGAAGAAAAACACTTACTGATATGAAGGTTTCCCTTATTTTAGCAGAAAAATTAACTTGGTGATATTTACATAAATGAAAGTTCTAGCAAACCCAAGGAAAAAAGAATGAAGCTTCTGGTTTATAATGAAGTCATTCAGTGTACGTTGTCTGCAGCCTGTCTTCTTTCGTGGATAGACTTTCCTCCTTGTGGGTGCCAGGGACACATGATACCACCGTTTCATGTTTGTTTTCAGGATCAGTTCAGTGATATGAGAATCAGCATAAACCAGACGCCTGGGAATGGCCTTGACTTTGGGTTTACAGTAAAATGGGATGTTTCCGGGATCTTCGTAGCATCAGTTGAAGCAGGTAAATCATAGAATTTAGCTCTACTGAACTTTTTTCCCCCTTGTTATTCTCTGCTGTTCAAAAACTCCCACAGAAATTAGTTTATTTGATTTAGGAGGAGAAAACACAAGTGAAAAATGTGGCAGTAAAGCGAGATGATGCATCCTCTTCCCTGAGACCAAGAGTTGGGGTTACAAATTATATACTGTTTGTTCTCCTTGCCTAATTCATTTTACTTTTGCAGAGTCTTAATTTTGTGACTTTTATAGAATTCATTTGTCAAAATTTTAGGCTTAATATCTGGAAATGCTAGCAAACAATACTTTAATTGAAGATTCAGAAGGAACTTTCCCTGATCAGCTGTGTTGGTGGTAGATATATACATGCTGTATAATAAATCGATGTTTTCTGAGCATCCTAATATATCTATTGCTCATGGACTCCTCAGGATGCTTTGGGACTTTTACAAAAGGATTGCCCCCCCTCACCCCCCGCCCAGGGTTATACCAAGTCAAACCTAGAAACTCTTAGCAAAATATTACCACAAGCCATAAAATTAAAATGAAATCTATTGTATTTAAGAGGAGTTCCTCATTTACATATTTTAGCTATATAAAATTGCATGCTGACTCTGGTTATTCCTTTAAAATTAGATAATGGTAAGTGGTAATTTTAAGCAGCCCTGTTTTCTTCCCTATTCCAGAGTGCAGTTTTATTTGGAAGCTCAATTAAAGTGCAGTGTATTTCACATTTTTAATTTAAAGATAATTTAAAATTTTCTTCTTACGTTAACAAAGAAATTTTATTGAACAGATGAGCTTATTTCTCCTTTAAATGTTAATGAAGATACATCCTATAGAGTAAAAATGCCTTTGGTTGCTTTTATGTTGTAGCTACTCAAATATTCGATAACTTGAAGAAATTTTGTGACTCTTCTCCACCTGAAAAAATATGAGAAATGGTTAATTGAGATTAAGAAGTCATTTTTTCCTTAATTTAAATAAGCCATGACTAGTCAAATGTGTTTCTTTTTTATTGGTGGTTTTATTTATTTTGCTTTATTTAGGTAGCGCTGCAGAATTTTGTCAGCTACAGGTAGATGATGAAATTATTGCTATTAACAACACCAAGTTTTCATATAAGGACACAAAAGAGTGGGAGGAAACCATGGCTAATGCTCAAGAAACTGGAAACCTAGTAATGGATATCAGGCGTTATGGAAAGTCTGGTGAGTTGGTTTTACCACTGTGTTTGGCTTTCTAAATTGGGAACTGGTCTTTGGCAAGTGGTTATAACAGCTTGCTTTAATAACTTTTTTTTCTTTGCGTTTTACTTTTTGGCTTAAAGATGTTTTGTGGTTATGTTGAGACAACTCTTGAATGATACCTCCTTGAATATTCTGTCTGAAAACTTTTCACTAGTAAATTTACTGAATTCTGTATTCTTTATTGACTGATTTATATGCTGGACTGACTTTGAATGCAACTATCAACTCAAGGCTATTGTGATTGTATGTGCATTTGAGAGTCATATAATAATGTTGAGTATTAGAATTACACTATGATTTAACTTTCTCTACAGCATTGTAACTGTAACTGTAAGAGAAAACATGGTAGGTCGTATTCTTGTTATTCATTCTCAAGGAACTGTCAGTATACATTCCGTTACTGTGTTTCTTAGTTGTGGAGGTTTGATGGGGGAGGGCATTAAGCCTCCCCAAACCTACCAACTTATGATATCGAACAATAATATCCAGTCCTCGTTTACAGAAAGATTCAGCAAATTTGCTAGTCTTTTCATTATTAACATGATCTAACCCTTGTGTTTTCGGAAGGCAATCTGTTGGTAAAGGCCCTAAACTCTTCACTTCTTTCACACACTGATTTGTCTGTCTGTCTTGTATATGTTTTGTGTATTTTGTATATATGCATTCAGTAACTTTGTTCTTTCCACTTCAACATTTATGTGTACTCATTTCTTGATCTTCATGTGCCAATCAGACTGGGGCAAAGACCAACCTTCCCTGCCATTTAAACAGCATAAAACCCTCAATCTCACCAGTATGGCTACCAAAATTATAGGTTCACCTGAAACAAAGTGGATTGATGCAACTTCTGGAATTTACAACTCAGACAAATCTTCAAATCTATCAGTAATGACTGATTTCTCAGAAAGCCTTCAGAATTCTGTAAGTATTTTGAGAAGTGGGAGTACTTGTATAGAGCAAAGCAGCCGTAGGAATTGTGTGTGGGGAAAAGAATTTTTGTCTGAACAATTTTGATACTACTTTAAAAACAAATAATTGAAAAGTAATTTATAGTAATGAGAATAAAATGTATGTTCGAAAATAATAAGGCATTACCCATTAATAATTAGAGTAATAGTTATATAAGGGTAAAATCAAAAGATCCCATAGTGTTGTTTTGCAGGTATTTCTTACCAATCTTTCATCATATACCCATCTCGCAGATCTTTGTGAATGTGAAATAGTAATTATGTAGAATTATACACTCTAACTTTTCTGTTTTCTTTAGTCTTTACTGGTAAAATAAGTATAGTAATTGTGTTCAATTTAAAACCTCATAAAGTGTTTTTAGTTCTTGTGTGGGTGAATTTAATGCGTAAACTTACGTATGTGGTTAAGAGATACTCAGTTACATTAATCGATTAAAAATAATTATAATGTAGAAATTTTTCTGAGTATCAAAGCAATAATACAATTTAAATTTTCGAATGTTTATATGGAGTCCTAGATATAATTGTTGTTATCCTAAGATACTTCTTTTTATCTAAGAAAGGAGATCCTACTACATTGTGTAAGAAAAGTTTAAATGTTAGAGAATCCTATATGAATATATTGCTTACTCATAAAAATAAGCCCAATGGACTAATGATTTGGCTTATCATGTTTCTTAGAAAATTACTGACCGATTGAACTTAAAGCCATTGATGCTCGCACCTGGTCATTAATCCTTCCACAAATAGTAAAGAATAATGAAAAAACTAAGTTTCTATTTTATATGAGAGGCTGTAGGGAATACATTAATATTGAGAAAAATTCGTCTTGTTAAAAGATATTTTCTCTACTGGGAAATGCGTTATTTAAGCCCAAAGTCCAATTGGAGGGAAGGTTGTTAACTGGCATTTTTCTTTTCCAGAATACTGAATCCAAGGAAATCAATGGAATTCATGACGAAAGCAATACTTTTGAATCAAAAGGTAAACATCACCATTATAACTTAATTTATTATATAGGAAAAGTCATAGCATTCAAGTTCTGCTATTATAACATTAATATCTGGGCGTGAAAGAGAAACCAATCCACTGCAAGTTGAAACTAAAACGTTAGCACACAGATCCAATTGCAGCCAGGTGGCAGGGCGCTCAGTTCGAGTGTTGAAGAGTCCAGGAACTGCAAACAAAACTTTGGCAGCATGTCCAGGAGCTTTGAGTGCCTGTGTGTCTAAGCGAAATAAGACAGACTGGTTTTCCCAAGGCCGTCAACCTTCTTGCTATGGTATGCTGGCAAAGGGAGTCTTAGGTAACTTGGTTCATCGTTTTGTATTTTTCTTTCCCCTTTATTGTCGTGAAAGGGACAAGCTTGGAGGCGGTTAGTATTAATAGGGAAGTGCCAATGGCACTAATAATTGTTAGCAAAAGTACCCATATGTAATGAAAAAGCAGGCATATGTATCTAGGGAAATTTTGTATTATGGAGTTACCACTCTTTTCCTTCTGTCTATCCATAAATAATTCAGCTACCACATGCTGTGTGCTATTCCTTAGGCATACGAAATCAATAAGATCTGGTCCACATCAGCAGGGAAAGAAACCCAAAGAAGGTGAAACTTCTTTTATCACGAGACTAGACTGCCAGGAACGGGGCTGGATTTGCACAGTGGTTTGGTGGCTTGAAATCTGCGTTTGTCAGTTTTTAATACATTATGTCAAAGCCAAACCAAGTTTGTAAATTTCTCTTCCTTTATTGATATCTTTGTATTTAATTTCAGATAGTTAGAAGTAACTATATTTTAATTTTTATATTACATTCTTTATCAAAGGAGCTTTTTAAGCCAACATGACTTATTTTTCTTTGTGATGTTCAATCTAAGACGTTGGGGTCCTGTTTTGCCAGTGGCTCAGGCAAAGCAAACTGATAAGACACTGAACTTGTTAGTGACTGTGGGACTATATGCAGGCCCTGTTGTTTGAGGGTTGTGTTTAGATATGTAAGCACGAACTAGTATCCAGTAATAATTGCGTTTACATTTTATGAATAAACCGAAGTATAATAATCATCTTGCGACAGATCTGTAGGATAAGTCAGTGTTTTGTTTTTCTTTTTTATCTGACTGAACTCTATTTACTTTAAGTTAGTGGATATAAGATCTTGAAAACTAGGGCAAAATATTTTACTTAGAAGAATGTTTTAATTTTGGCATTTGTTTTTATTTCATCTTTCTCTGGGTATTTATTTTCTTGTCCTCCTCCCCATTATTTTTCAGCTCCTTTTTTACTCATCAGTACTATCTAAACTCTTAGTACAAACAATTCTCCTTGTATTAGGAGAGATTTTGGATTGATTAACTTAAGCACAAAATTTTAATTTCCATTTCCCTAAAGCTGTGTGATCTAGCATGAAAGGTGGTACTTCGGCTTCTGTGAAACTATGATGCTATCTGCTAAAATTTATTAATCAAAATATTAGTTCCTTTTACTAATTTGAATGTAGTATAGACTACTAAAAATTCATGTGTCCTTGTGCATTGAAATAATCTATATCTTCTATGGCTATCAGTTTTGTCATTTTAAAAATAATATTGCTACAAATTGGAATGGTGTATCAAGTATCATTTCATTTTCCAGTGGTGAGAGATTAAAATGAATGACATGGTATTGATGTATTTTTTTGTTTGTTTGTTTGTATTTTTCAACTAGCATCTGAACCTATTTCTTTGAAAAACTTAAAAAGGCGATCACAATTTTTTGAACAAGGTAAACCACCAAGCTAACAATTCATGTATTTTTCATGGAATTGTTCTCACTCTCCACTCTTTCCTGATAGTCTGTGGTGCTGGGCCCTGAGCCTCTTCACTTTGGCCATCATTGTGACCAAGCAACATAACCCATTTCCATTCTTTCCCCAGGGTCATCAAGCTTTTCTTACAGTTCATGGGTCTACCTCTGTGGTAATGGGTCTTTGCGTGTCCTTTGTATACTTCTGAAGTTTTTTTTTTTAGTAAAAAAAAAAAATTGAGATTAAAACACACACTTCTTTCCACTGGGTGACAGTAAGAAATGAGGAATTTCACTGAAGCCTTAATGCTTCCTATAAATTGCATACTATTAGATTACACCAACATATAATTGGCTAACTTTTTAAAAACTCTAATTTTTGTTTATGGAAAATGCTCTTAATAAAGAGCAGAGTTGTTGATTGCTCTTGGGATGGTGGCTTTGGAGTGTTAATAGGACTGCTCTGATGACGTTGAAGTAAAGTAAAAGTCGATAAATTTTTGTTGCCTCTGCGAGCAAGCGCATTTTGTGATTCTCGGTGTTGGTGTAGTTGGGCAGTGCTGCCCTGCGATGTGCTGTGCATGTGGCGCCTCCTCTCCTTTTGCGTTTGTCTAACCTCTGTCTCATGAATGTGGTTCGAGCTGTGTTTTGCTATCAAGAACTTAAAAGTAATATCCAACATTTGAGATGCAATGGCACAGTCAGAGGGGAATGTGCTGTTGGTGTCTAAAATGTTGTTGTTTCTTACTTTTAAGATTATCAAACTTGCCTTGTAACATGATATTTACTGGACTTGTATATTTTGTGTTCATCTCCTAGTAGTCTTCCTTGGGTGAATTAAGGTCTCTTTTGACCATACATAGAATTAGCTTACTAACTCTGCATGTGCAAGGTCTCTTGGTGTCAGTATCCTTAGTGTTTTTGATATTTTTTTGTTAAACTCCTGTTTTTTGATGGTAATTTAATTGATAACAGTATGATACTCCTAGCTCAAATTGGCTAAAATAAAGCAATTCCTTTTCTTTCTCTATTCTAATTTTTACTCACTTTTCTTCAACAGGCTATTTTAGGGAAGAATATTTTCCTGAGTCTCAAAGCAGTTTTCTTAAATATAATTGTGTGAGTGAGTAATTTGACAGCTGAGGTTTCAGGAAAATTTAAATATACTGTATGATAGTGTATTTTTGTCAAATTTGCTACTTGTTTGTAATCTTTGTACTACTTACAGACACACACTTATGTAGGCCCCCCTAAGAGTAAAAAGAAGAATACTATGCCCCTAAGTTAACACACAAAGTTGAATATTTGTGTTTCAAATAACAGGAGAGGAGAGGGAAATGTTTCTTGAACATGTTTGTTGTAATGGCTTATTCAAGAAAAGTAGCTCTTTAGCAAGCAGGCCTGAAAAATGTGACTTGCAGTTGTCATGTAATTGAATAGTGGCGAGTAAAATATTTGGTAGATGTTGTAACATTTGAAATGTTTTTTTAATTTTAAATTAGGCCAAACTATGTAGGCCCAGTCTATTAATGAAAGAACTCTGAAACCTCTTCAGAAATACACCATTGATCCAGCTCTAGTACTGAGAGCAAGGGTGTAGCTTTGCATAGTTTCTTCTTTTTTACTGACTTTGAATTTGGAAGATGAGTAGCAAATAGATGGAACTAAAGAGAAAAAAGGATTTATTGCTATTTTAAAGAACATTGATGTCACTTAGTATACTGGCATAGAAACAGTTAATGATACAGCTTTGTGAAAGGACATATTTCATAGACATGAAAAGACTTATATTGTGTTTTTTTCTGTCTTGCCCACATGCTGCAATACAGGAAGCTCGGATTATGTGGTTCCTGATGTAAGTAGTATCCATTTGTTTTTGAAATAAATAAGATGACCTTGATGGGACTGAATTAATGCACAGTAGCTTTGCTTCCCTTTATTGTAAGTTGCATGAGAGTTTATTAAGGAGTAGTCTTTCCAAATTGAAAAGACTTCCCTTGAAATATAAAGCCAACCCTCCTTTGGTACAGCTTACGCAAAGGGTGATATGAATAATTTACATTGCAAAAGTGCTTCAATAGATGACTTAATGAAGTAATATGTTTGTCTTTGTTTGCACCTCTTCTAACTGGTTAGCTTCCAGTTCCTACCATCAGTGCCCCAAGTCGCTGGGCATGGGATCAAGAGGAGGAGCGAAAGAGGCAGGAGAGGTGGCAGAAGGAGCAGGACCGGCTGCTGCAGGTAGAGGAGGGTACTGTGCGTCAACAGGAAGTAGGCTTTCTCTAACTGCTTGTCCCTGGTCGGTGTCGACCAATATTGAGAAGCAAATAATAAAACCAATAACCTCATAACTAACAAATCTTTTGATAGGTAACACATTTTATATGAAATAATTGCTTTCTGTTTTGAAGATTTCCAGTCATCTTTTTAAAATAATTATTTATTAACCCTGTGTATGTTTTTAGAGAGTACAGGGCACTGTAGTTTCGTGGATTTTCTTATGCATGAGAGGTGTATAGATTTGTAAGGATTTACTTCCCCAGAGACTGTGTGCTCAGTCCATCGCAGAGTAATTCAGTCCCCCTTACAGTTAGTGAGGGGCTTTAATGAGTTACAACCATGGTAAAGGGTGGATGTGGGTTCAATTCTGAGAGTTTACCCTTTCCCAGCCTCTGCATTTTAATTCAATATAAGCTATTTTCTACTTTAGGGACGAAAATCTGATTGGTTAAAATAATATTACTCTCTTTAAAGATTGAGGTGACGAGTAGAGCTAGCAAAAATGCTAATGAAAAAGAGGCTAACATCATTAACCTATTAATTAATTAATATGCTATTTCTTCTTATAGGAAAAATACCAACGTGAGCAGGAGAAACTAAGGGAAGAGTGGCAAAGGGCCAAGCAGGAGGCAGAGAGAGAGAATTCCAAGTACTTGAATGAGGTAGTGTTGGAACATGCTGTGTTTTTCCTTCTCTATCTTGTTGGTGAAATTAGCTGAAAAATAGAAGTTGCTACATTTCACTTGGCTTTTGCCGCACATTCACCTACGTAGCTCTTTGAAAAATACAAAATGAGGTGCAGGCCCAGTGGTGTAGTGGTTGGGTTCGCGTGCTCTGCTTCAGTGCCCTGGGGTTCGCAGGTTCAGATCCTGGGCACGGACCTATGCACCACTTACCAAGCCATGCGGTGGCAGGCGTCCCATGTATAAAAGGTAGAGGAAGATGGGCATGGATGTTAGCCCAGGGCCAATCTTCCTCAACAAAAAGAGGAGGATTGGCAGCAGATGTTAGCTTAAGGCTGATCTTCCTCATCACAAAAAAAAAAAAACAAAAATGAGCTCTGATTTGTCAGAGTTTTGCTTTGATGTTTCAGTAGACCCTAAGTGCATCTTCCTCTTCTAAGTTACATCTCCATCACCCATGTGTGGCTTTGTTATTGATAAAACTTTTAATATCATTTCAAGTGGAATTCTGGGCCAACTACAGTAAGTATCACCTAAAACTGAATATAGACGTCTCAGCAATTATAGCAATTCACAGATTCAGGTGCGTTTCTTTTCTCTCCGGTCACATAGGAACTGATGGTCCTAAACTCAAACAGCATTTCTCTGACCACACGGGAGCCTGCTCTTGCCACCTGGGAAGCCACCTGGGGTGAAGGGTCCGAGTCTTCCAACAGAGAAGGAACCCGGGCAGGAGAAGAGGAGAGGAGACAGCAGCGAGAGGAAAGTGAGAATGAGGGCCAAAGAAAGAAGCTGCAGGAGCAACTCACTCTTGAGAGAGAGAGGAAACTGAAGGAGCAGCAGCGCCAGGCAGAGGCCGCGGAGCAGAGGCGCCAGGCAGAGGCCG